GAATCGGAAGAGATTATAAACGACAATGCAGTTCGAGATGATGAATCGCGATTCTTCACGACCTTGGATAGATTTGGGGAGATTGGTTCATTATATTAGATTTTATTGGAGTTAATTGGATTAAATGGGTTAGAAAATGCGAATATATTTTTAAGATGTATTGTTTATTTTTTTTTAATTTTTTTTTATATTTTTGTGTATTAAAAATTATTTTGATAAAATTATATATATATATATATATATACACGCCATTTATCTTTTCTAAAACTAAAATTTCAAATTGTGTCTAAGAATAATTAATTAACAATGATCGACATATTAGAAAATTGATAATCTCCAATCCATTTCAAAATTAATTAACAATTTGAGTATCAAAATATAATAATATCATATAGTTATACAAAATAAATTAGCTTGTCATACCTTAAATATGTTGTAATTAATTTAAACTAAGACATCATATTGTTAATTGTTAGTGACATCATCTTGTTTTGATTAAATAAATTTGATTAATTACTACCCTACCCTGTTTAATATTAACCACAAAATTAATAATTGGATTGATCAATTATTCAACATGATACTTCATTCTACAAAAAATTAATACCAGCAACCTTTCTAAAATATTCTAAAATACGTAGACAATTAATTTATTTTTTATTTTTATTTTACTATATTATTATACTATTTAAAAATATCAATATTAATATAGTAACACTTCTTGCAATTTTTTCACGGATCCTATAGCAATTATCTGTAGCAAATTTTGCTACAAAATCCTAAATGACTGGAATTGTGTCGATAATATACAAAATAATATTTGATATTAAATTGTTATTTTTTATAAATATATAAATTTATATAAATAGGATATATATTGAGAATCATATTTTAAAAAATTGAGTTGAGTGTACAATTCCATGTAGTTGATTGGTGTTTCCTATACCCATGATCATTTTTGCTATGAAAAATTTCAATAGCAAAAACTTATTTTTTTTTCTTATGATATTAATAAGTTAAAATTATTTACAATTTACTTATAATTTGAAAAGTTTGTACAATTTTTTTTTTTTTTTTTCGTAATTTAGAAATTGCATGGGCTTATTTCGTATTTTAGAAAATATTGCGCAAAATCTTTTAAAAATTATGCAAGACTACTCCATATTTTCAAAAATATTTTATAAAAATCCCTTAAAAAATACTCCCGAGGTGTGTTTTTTTTTTTCACACATGTATTTTCAAAAAAATTAATACATTAGACAGATTTATTATTTATTTTTATTTTACATAAAAAAAAAATTCTTTCAAACTATTTTACGAAACAAGGAAAACAAACACTCTATGAAAGTTGTGGTTTGGAATAATTGTTCAACTGGATCCAATGTTTAACTCAAATCCAATTCAGATTTTAAATTGTTGATATATATATCTTAAATCTAGTTTGTCAATTTGCTGAGTTTTCTGTCCGTTCAGCAAGTCGGGGGTCAAGGGGGTGAACCCCTTGCTTGGGTCCGGGGATGCGGAGTGGTCCTCGACCGACGGTATGCAGTATTGGGCTTTTTAAGTTGGTATCGAGTTGAGTTCGTCTGATGTATTTTTTTTTTTTTTATTTAAATAGATTTAGAGATATGAAATTTATAATATGTAACGTAGCTATTATTGATAAATTTATTCTCCATAACCAACATGGTGAATCTCGTAAATCTATGCACTATTTACGTTTTTATTTATTATTCGATCATTTTATCTTAATTCATCACTCCAAAAATAAACTACAATTGCACAAATAGTCCATTTTCGTATTTTGCAATATTGTTTGTTAACTGATAGAGAATATAAATTCTATATATTAAAAATCGAATAAAAAAAATAAATTAGACAAACTAATATTATATATTTTTAAAAAATTACAAAGTTAAAATGATAAAATTCAAATTAAAAAGTAAATAAAAAAAATACATCCATTTGGTCAATGGAACATTTAATGACGAATTTTCGCTGCAGATTTTTCTCGAAATGGTCGATGAGAAGCGAACATTAATTAATTCATTCACACAACCACTGTTCTCATATCTATCTAATTTTATTTTTATTTTTAATATACTTTCTCTTTCCCACCATTGACATTATTTTTATTTTTATTTATTTCGTAACATTTGATATATTTTTATTTTTTTTAAAAATTATTAAATTAAAATATATTTAACAAATATAAATTTAATTAACTACATAACATACAACATTATAAATGACGTAAAAGTTACTCAAAATCTATTTATTTCTATCTCTCTTCTCAAAAAATAAATATTTTTATCTATATTTAAATTACCCTATCTTTTATAAAATTAATTTATATAATAAATAAATAAAAATATTTTTTTTATTTACTTATAAAAAATTTTATATTACATATATTTTTTAATTTTTATATAATTTTAAAATATTTTAAAATATTTTTTAATTTTTTTAATTTTATATATTATATTTATTTTAAAATTATAAATATTATTTATTATATAAAAAATAATATAATAATATTATATATAGCTAATTATTATTAATTAATTAAATATTATCGTCTTAAATATCGTTTTTCTAAGTTCAATTATGGTGGGACGACCAATACATATTTCTCTAATTCAAATTAAGTAAGTTTTCATATAGATTTTTTCGAAAGGCAAATTTATCCGATTAGTCCACTACAAACTGGACCAGAAGACCACGTCGATCCTCACCGTTAAAAATGCGGGTGGCCTGGAAGTCCCTGGAGCTTGCAGAAATCAAGACGCTTAACCGTAATTTCACAGATATTCTTTAGGACTCCCGGTACCTCGACCCCCACTCATAAGCGCACCGTTCAGATCGCTAAAGGACGCTCCAAGTCAACTTGGATATCAAGGTCCTGGACTCTTTAAGAAATACAAGGACCAGTAACGCCTGCCCTGTTTCTGGAAAATCTCTTGGTAGTGGCACTGGTGCAGATATTTTATTACACATATTTCAGAAAACAGACAATATCCACAATATTTAGATAGGGATTTTTGAAAGTTTTTGAAAATTTGGAAATTTGAATAAAATAAAATGTTAGTATTTAATTTAATATTTTGTGAAATAAATATATTTGATGTGATATTTTTAAAAGTAAATAGTATCAAATGAATAAAAATATGTTTGATAAACAGTGCCCGTCTCGTCATTCTCACATTTTATTTTTATTATTTATTTTTAATTGGGGACTTTTGTTGTTTATATTTTCACTGTGTTTTTTTAGGATTTTGAAGTTTTAGATTTCAATAATAAAAATTTTAAATTGAAAAACTGTTGTAATATAAATAAGTTGTGATATGATAATTTAATAAAATTAATTTTTATTATGATATAAAAATAAAAATAAAAATATAATTAGATATTTTTTAATTTTTAAAAAATAAATAGTGAATATTAATAAAAAGAATTGATAAAAGAACCTGTGTGTTTAGAAATAAATGAATAGTTCACGAGCTTGGCTCGATTTGATTCTTTTGAGTTCGTTCGTTAAGTTAAACAAGTCGAAAACAAACATAAATTTTGACTCGTTATATTCACAAAAAAATTTGAATTTATTTGCGAACGTTCGACAATATTTATTAGAAAAATTAAATTAATATTTTTATATTTAGGGTGTATTTGTTTGGGGGATTGGATTGGATTTACACTATTCATCCAATTTTTTCCCCCAAAAAACATCAAATCAAACACATATTTTTCATTTTTTATATTATAGTAAAAATCAATTTTACATTCAAAACATCACATCAGCACCTATTTATATCACATCATACAACTATTCAAATTCAAAATTTTTACTGTTCAAATCCCAACTCAAAATCCAAACTCCCAAACAAACACACCCTAAGTATATATATTTTTATATTTCTTAAAACTTCTTTTTCAAAACAACAAAGTAACAAACAGGGTTATAAAATCTGTGTATTTTTTTTCATGTATTTTACTAAAAATAATTATAGGCGTTTATAAATAATAATAATAATAAGAAAAATTAATTATTTTTTATTTTAAATGAATTCTTGAAAATATAATTTTATAAAGATTTATATAATTTTTACATCTATTTAAGTGAAAATAGCTTAGTACGTGTTATATTAATATTACTAATTGTTATCTATTTTTCTTTTATGGTTTAAAATTTATTTTAAATGGAGGATTGATTTGATATTTAATTAAAATAGTATTTTGATATAATATATTATAAAAAAAATATTTTTATTAAAAACTGGTTCAAATGAACGTGGTTAATTTTAGTTTGAAATAGTAAAAAGATCAATATATTTTAATTATTTTATCCGATAAAATTTAATTTAAAAATTTTTATCAATTCAATTTCATTTTAATTTTAATTTTTTATTAAACAAAAATATTTTTAATTTTTAAATACAATATGAGGCACGGACCACTTTAATTGCATATAAATAAAAAATTCAATTTAAAAATACAATTTAATTTTTTTTATTAAACTAAGATATTTTTTATTTTATAAATACAATTTGAGGTATGGACAACCTTAGTTGCATAGCAACAATGAACAGAACGAATAAATGTATAGTTTTGGTTCAGTTATGTAAATATTTTAATACTTCTAAATTTTGGTTATGGATTTAGAAGATATATTATTGGAATATATTTGTATAAAAGATATATAATCTTTTTTTTTTTTTCGATATTTAAAATGCATTATATTTACATAATATTGAGATCTTAATTAATTGTTTTAATAAATCAATTTTATACAAATCCAAATAGATAAATTAATCATTCACATAATAATTCTCATAAATATTATTAAAAAATACAAATAAATACATATTAATATATATTATTTATTTTATAAAATTAATTATTTAATACAAAATATTATTTTAATTTTCTATACCAACGAAGAATTTATTTACGGGGACCTCAGTAATAATAATTAAAAGATTCATCCATGGAGTAGGAGTGGAACCCAAGCGAGCGACACTGACAGCTAGGGTTTGGGCCGTAGCTCGCCCACCTCGATTGACGGAGGAGGAGGTGATGCATTGATTGACCGCTAGTCTCCTCTGGTCCCCATCCTCCATCGGGCCCCAGCATTGCCCATCCACCACGATTAACAAAAGTTTCTTCAATTTTCCGAAAAGATGGGCAATAATTCGTGAGTAAAAGTTGAAATGACAGACTCTGTATAATTGGAGGTTGTAACTGTTACTTTTAGTTTCCATGGTGGTTTAATGGTCTAATACTGCTATTGTTAATCGTTAATTGGAAAAGCAGTGGGCGGCTGGTGGAGTGAAGTAATCCAGCTTCTGGAGCCAGAGCTCGGTGGAATCCTTTTCAGGAATTGGAAGAAAAGTAACCGCAATGCGTTGTTTTTCTATTGTAGGAATAGAATCAGGTTTAGTATTTGGGGTTTAGCAATGGCTCGTTTTGCTGCAATCATCAAGTGTCACTGTCATCGTCTCCACAAGCCATTGGAGCTTTTGATGTTCCTCTGTGTTTTGCGTTTAGCTCAGAACGACGCCGTTTGGGGATACGATGTGGATAAATCTGCTCTATTAGAGTTCAAGGCGGCGCTCTCAGATCCTTACGGAGCGCTGAGCACCTGGGAATTGAATGGCTCGGATCACTGCTCCTGGACTGGGGTTTTTTGCGATTCAAATTATCGTGTTGTAGCGTTGAATGCTCCCGGTGGAGGTAAGTCTCGGCCATGTGCTAGAATTGCTCACTATCCATTTTATGGGTTTGGGATTAGGAGGAGGTTTTGTGTAGGTAGTAATGGAAATTTTTTTTCTGGTAAGCTGTCTGGGGCTGTTGCAAAGCTTAGTGAGCTTAAAAATTTATCTCTGCCGTTCAATGAAATCAGTGGGGTGATTCCTGAGGAGATATGGGGAATGGAGAAGCTTGAGGTTCTTGATCTTGAAGGGAATTTGATTTCTGGCTCTTTGCCTGCACAGTTTAGTGGATTGAAGAATTTAAAAGTTCTTAACTTGGGATTCAATGAGATTGCAGGGGAAATACCGTCTTCTTTATCTAACTGTGTTGGGCTTCAGATTCTGAATTTAGCTGGGAATCGAGTGGATGGATTGATTCCAGGGCTTATTGGGCAGTTCAAAGATTTGAGGGGGCTTTACTTGTCCTTCAATGGACTTAGTGGTTCGATACCGACTGAGATAGGGGATAATTGTGGGAAGCTTGAGCATTTGGATCTTTCTGGGAATTACTTGACTGAAGGTATTCCAGAAACTATTGTAAATTGCAGAGGGTTGAAGACTCTGCTTCTGTATTCAAATTTGTTGGAGGAGGATATTCCTCGAGAGCTTGGTCAATTGAGTGTGTTGGAAGTGCTGGATCTGTCAAGGAACAGTTTCGGAGGTCCCATACCCATTGCCCTTGGTAATTGTACGAAGTTGTCTGTCCTTGTGCTGTCTAACTTGTGGGATCCTTTTCCAAATACTTCTGCTTTGGAAAGCCATACTGTCAATGACTACAATTTTTATTTAGGTTCGCTACCGGAAGAAGTAAGTAGTCTTTCCAGCTTGAAAATTTTGTGGGCTCCTCAAGCGATGCTGCAGGGGAAGTTTCCGGGTAGTTGGGGTTCCTGTGATAACTTGGAGATGCTGAATTTGGCTGAAAACTTTATCACTAGTGAAATTTCTGAGGGGCTTAGCAGCTGCAAGAAGCTGCATTTCCTTAATGTAAGCTCCAACAAACTTAGTGGGGAGGTCAGCAACAAGATCCCCGTTCCATGCATGGTTTTGTTCGATGTTAGCAGGAATCATCTGTCAGGTTCCATCCCCAAGTTTAACTACACATCTTGCATTCCTGTACAATCTGTGCATTGGGATGCATTATATCCTTATGATCCATCATCTGTTTATCTGTCATATTTTGGATATAGAACTAAGATTGAAACATCTTTGCGGTTATATGGAGCCAGTGATAGCTTTTCAGTATTGCACGATTTTGGCTCCAACAACCTTGCTGGCTCCCTGCAGGCAATGCCTGTTGCACGTGAAAGACTCGGTAAGAAAACAGTTTATGCATTTCTTGCTGGCCAAAACCAGCTTAGTGGAAGCCTTCCTGGAACATTCTTTGAGAAATGTGATCATGTTGGAGGTATTATAGTTAATGTCTCAAACAACAGGTTATCTGGTCAAGTTCCAAATGGTATTGCCATGCTGTGCCAGACTTTGATTCTATTGGATGCTTCTGGAAACCAAATTACAGGGACTCTTCCTCCCAGCATTGGAAATCTGGGTTCACTTGTTGGTCTTGATTTAAGTAGGAATCCAATGCACGGTTCAATTCCTAGCAACCTTGGCCAAGTAAAGTTTCTCAAACATCTATCACTCTCGGGGATTAACCTAAATGGTTCAATCCCTGCAAGCATGGGGCAACTAAACTCTTTGGAATATCTGGATCTGTCTTTGAATTCAATATCAGGTGAAATTCCTAATGATCTTGCGAACTTGAGGAATTTGAAGGTCCTTCTCCTGAACAATAATAAGCTCTCCGGACAGTTCCCTGCTGGATTGGCAAATATCTCCACCCTGTCAGTCTTTAATGTGTCTTTCAATGATTTGTCTGGATCGTTGGCTGTGGACAATAGTATGATCGAATGCAACAGCATCCTTGGGAACCCTTCTTTGAATTGCCTTGCACCATCTTCTTCTTCTCCTTTGATGGAACAAGGAAGATTAGGAAACACACAAAATGAGGCATCTTCCACCCCATCAACACCGTCAGGCCGAAAACAAGGGAAAGATGGCTTCAACTCAATTGAAATTGCCTCTATAACCTCTGCAACAGCCATTGTTTCTGTGCTCTTTGCTCTTATTGTCCTTTACTTTTACACCAGAAAGTGGAAACCGGGTTCCCAGGTGTGTGGAACTGCCAGGAAGGAAGTAATCACCTTTATTGACATCGGGGTTCCATTAACGTATGACATTGTGGTGCAAGCTACAGGATGTTTCAATGCAAGCAACTGCATTGGCAGTGGTGGGTTTGGTGCGACCTACAAAGCTGAGATTGCTCCAGGTGTCCCTGTTGCCATAAAATGCCTTGCAGTTGGGCGTTTCCAAGGTATTCAACAATTCGATGCAGAAATTAAAACCCTGGGCAGACTTCGTCATTTTAATCTTGTGACTTTGATAGGGTATTATGCCAGTGAAACTGAGATGTTTCTTATATATAACTATTTACCTGGTGGCAACCTCGAAAAGTTCATACAGGAACGATCCACTAGAGGTGTTGATTGGAGGGTACTCCACAAGATTGCCTTGGACATTGCTCGTGCGCTCGCCTACTTACATGATGAGTGTGTACCACGGGTTCTCCACCGTGATGTGAAACCTAGCAACATACTGTTGGATGAGGACTACAATGCATATCTCTCTGATTTCGGACTAGCCAGGCTTCTTGGGACTTCAGAAACTCATGCCACAACAGGGGTTGCAGGAACTTTTGGATATGTTGCCCCAGAATATGCAATGACTTGCCGTGTCTCTGACAAGGCTGATGTTTATAGCTATGGGATTGTGTTGCTAGAGTTGATCTCTGACAAGAAGGCACTGGATCCATCCTTTTCTTCCTTTGGAAACGGTTTCAACATTGTGGGTTGGGCATGTATGCTCTTGCGGCAAGGTAATGCCAAGGAATTCTTTACTGCCGGGTTGTGGGATGCAAGCCCGCATGATGACTTGGTTGAAGTATTACACTTGGCTGTGATATGCACAGTCGAAACTCTCTCCACCAGGCCCACGATGAAACAGGTGGTCAAACGTCTAAAACAACTTCAACCTCCATTGAGTTAGCTGTACAGAAAGGAGTCCTTTAATTTTACATAGCAGTCTGTAGAAAGGTAAGCCACTCTAACAAGTGATCCTGCACTTTTTTTGGAAAAGTGCTTTTTCGGTGTCTTCTTGCTGTCCTTAGCTTAGTTGTAGCTGCTTGTATATTGTGTTTTCCGTGTTAATTCACAGTTAAACAGCCTTGATGTAGAATGAAAATTCTTGTTTTTTGCAGTGTATACTTGTATCTCATTTCTATTTATTGTTGAATTAAATGTTGGGAAACTCCCCTAGCTTATAAGGGTGAAGTGCTACTCCTATTAATACCAATTGAGTTTAAGTTGGAACTCCGTATTTCTTCTTAACATGATATCAAAGCTATGGTGCCCGTATTGGACATTGATCCTGATTAGGATTTGGTTCCCACAGCGAAAAATGTTGGAAAACTCTCCTAGCTTATAAGTGAAGGAGGCTCAAAACAACTTTAAAAGATTTGGATTCTTATGGGCATGTATAGAGCAAGTAGAGGCTGTTGGAATCATATTTTTCATGCAGGTTTATCCAGTGTCATAGTATGGTCATGGTCATGGATCTCCCAAATTGTGACTTGCAGTATCTTGAAAGGGATCTGTCGGCCTCAGGCTATGTCGTGTGGATAAAATCCACTCTAATTCTGAAAGTTGTAAACATCTTTCTCCAGATGGAATAGTTTCTATGGTCCCCTTCGCTAAGCCAGGACTGATCCTTATATTAACACAGGTATATAACCAATATCTGTAGCGAGTTTTTTCCTTAGCTTAACATTTAGCTAATTGTGTTTCATATATTCTAAAATGACTTCTTTGTTATGTGGATGAGATCTATTTCACTTTATATTGATTATATCAGCACTTTTGCATCTGTCATTATTGAATCATGGGTTGAATATGATTGTTATATCCTCCTTGATCACTATGCATAAACATATAAACTTGCAGATAAAATATCTATGTATACACATGTACATATTTGCTTCTGGTGCTTTATTTCTAAAAAACCAACATGTTAATTGTGTCTGTCTCATATTCAATAGGTTGAATATGATTGTTATATCCTCCTTGATCACTATGCATAAACATATAAACTTGCAGATAAAATATCTATGTATACACATGTACACATTTGCTTCTGGTGCTTTATTTCTAAAACACCAACATATTTATTGTGTCTGTCTCATTATCATTATAGTATTAACTGAATGATCTGAGTCCAGCTAAGACAATGTGCAACATTTGCCCTGTTAGCCTCTGGTCAGGCTGCTTATTGAATCTATAGTTTCTTTTGCCAGGAAAGATGAGTATATTGTGGCATTTCTTTAGTTTTCTTGCATTACAATTTTTACCTGGGCAGCAATTACTAATCTTGCGACATCCTAGTTTAGTTAGTAATGAAACTCTCCTATTTGAGGAGTAACGGGCCTATTGTGATATGGTCTACACTCTACAGTTCACTGTGCTTGAAAATTGCTCAAAATCAAAGCATGGATAGGGCTTTCTTTAGTAACATTCATAGATTGCATTGGATGATAAACAGTGGTTCGACTTGGATTGGGTCACCTCACTCTCACAGGTCATGTCCAGCCCAATTTAAGTTTCAAAATGATCCAAATGGTGTCCATCACTTTCTGATTACAAACTTCATTCTGAAGTTGGATAGCACATAGCAAGTGACAAGAATGTAGTCGTCTACATAGATAGCATAAGGTTACTTTGGGGAAACCTGAGTAGTAATGAAACAAAAAACTGATCCTTTTATATGTACGTATTCATGTATGTCATTGTTTGCTCAGACTGACTGCTCTGTTTTTATCTCTACATGGTTTTGAACTGTTGGTTGTAGTGGTGTGTTATTTTTTGCAGGGCATGACAATAAGTGACACTGTAAAAAACAAACACACCCCTTGATGAATAGGGAAAGAACAGGTGGGCTGTGTACTAAAATGGCAGGAGGAGGTTAAAGGGGAAAATCAGTCAAGAACATCATTTACTGTAGGTACCTATCATTGCCCACTTCATCTGAATCTGTCTAAGTTATGTCAAAACACTTCTGTGCTTATTGCATTGTCAAATTTTGCTGCATGCCATTTCAATTTCTGTTGATAAAGAAGTATAGATTCTTCTGTTTGTTTGTTTTTATTGCCTCTGCAAATTACACATGTGTATGTGTTTTGTTAAATTTTGATCAGATGATCTTTCTTTAGTGGTCTATATTTCCGACATGAGTGAAACTTTTCTCACATGATATATTAACTTTTAGTACAAGCACCATGCCACGCTTATACACTGTGGATGAGCCTGCATGCAGGCTTTGCCAGCCTACTTGTATGTATATGTGTATGTATATATATGTATGTGTGCTATCAATTGCTTACTAAAACAACTGATGAAGAAAAAAGGAGTGTTGAGTACCTTTTGTATATAGATGTAAGTGGTGTCTTTAATTTTCATTAAGGGCTTGCTCGCTTATGCTTTTCGTTTGTATTTTTTTTTTGATGTTTTAAAACAGATAAAAATTGATTAATTCATGTGATACTTTGAATGGAAAAGAAAATATAATGTTTTTAGAAGAAAATTAGTAAATTTAACAATAAAATACAAGTGAACAATCATGTTGGATATATTTATAGGAGATGCTGATTTAGATCTATACCTTTGATTAGGTTTGTACTTTGTAGGGACTTTAAAGTATTGTTTAAGGAATTCAATGTTTAGGATGGAAATCTTCCCTCATTGTTTATATCATTTGTCTGAAGCTGGATGGAAATTTGTATCTCAACTAGTTTGATATCGTTGTTTTAGTCTTCTGTATCGGTCCTGAGTAATATGGTGTGATTGGCTAAGTTGCTTGCCATATTGATGCCGGGAAAAGTTCACAATAGCAAGCTATGTTAGTTTTGGTAACATTAATGATGCCTAGGACTTAATTGTTAAAATACCTATATATCTAGCAATGCTTCAAGTAAATAACATAAACAATAAAGGGATCTCAAGTACACGATGATAATATTGTTCTTTTCCCCAAATTTACCATGTAGATTCCATATTACATAGCAAACTGCACTGACCCTAAACCTTTATACTTTTTCCTCGGAAAAATTATCACTTCTTTTGTAATTTAAATATCCTTTCACATAACCCTCATTATGCAAAAGAATTATTGACCCATATATTTACTATGTCCAATGGTTGGCGATTAAACATATTAAACCCAAATCCATATATTTCCAAAGCCTAAATACAATACTACAATAAAACAAAAAGGTGTGCGTAGTTGGTGATTTTTTGGATTTCGGTTTTGATTTTTGGTTTAGATAGTTATTTCAATGGATATTTGTAAATAATACTCCACCTGTCTTGTAAAAGTTTGTTCACTTTACCATTTTAGTCGGTCTATCAAAAGTGTGTTCATAGGCTGCGGATTTTGTGCTGATTCGGCCAAGTCAGCATGGTGCTAATTTGATCGGATCAATATATGTCATACACATAACCGACATATGTTTACACATAGTATAACATATGCTGACTTATAATATAACTTGTGTTAGTATTATAAATATGCCAAGATATGTACAAATATATGTTAATTATCTGTATAACGTATGCTGATCCAAGCCGGTGTTCATACCATATTTAGTAAAATACAGTTTTTCTTTAAATATACACTTACAATTTTTCCCATCTATTTATACAAATGTTTAACCCAAAAGTTACATTACTAAACCTGTAAAATTCCAACTACATCCTTACAAAAGAGTACACAAATAATACTAAAGTTATATTTTTCTTAATCTACATGACCAATAGTTGAGCTATGAGCATAAGACAGAGGGAAGTACATTTTTATAGGGAATTATGATGGTTGAATGATAAAAAAGTAAAAGTAATTGCAGAGTGAACAAAGCCAAGGAGTTATTCTTGATTTGGCTTCAAGACATGCTTGATAAATCAACCAAGAAGTCGGGCTCGAAAAGAGTCTTCAGCTTGTTATTTTCGCAAAAGAGTGATAGACATTAAATTAAAACTTGTGGTCTTCTTGTGAACTACGCAATCGTTCAATCAGTCTAAAGTGTTACGCATGATAAAGTCATGCTAGAACCTAATCGTCCCTTATCTATATTTCGATAACTACGTGATATCTACATATATATGTCACAGTCAGTTATGTTCGATTTGAACTCTTAGAATTCAAACTAAAAGATTGGCAAAACTAAAGCAAAGTTAGGATCCAAAACTAGAATCACGTGATCATGCAAGAACATGGTAGGCTATGGGGGTATTATCCCTCTCTCTCTCTGACTCTCTCTCTCTCTCTATATATATATATATGTATATATTTGTATATGTGATGTCGGCCGGTGGGATTGTTGAATTCAAATTAACTAGTTGAATAGGGTGGTGATATATAGTAAAAGGGACGTATCATTGAAATTCTGACCAAAAAGCCCTGCTTCCATGCATGCCTGGGATCTGGGGACCATTTATTATATATTATATATTATATGATTTTATTTCTGTATATATAAAATCTCACTGAATGCATTTTGGGATTCTCATCGATCATCATAAGTACTGTCTGTTCATCACTCACTTCTTCTGTTTCTTGAGTCTTGATCTTGGGAGCTCCCGGGAGCCAAACAATTGTTGCTTCTTAGTTTTGATGGATAGATGGGTGGGAGTTGGGGTCCGGGAGTTCCTATCATGAGTCATCCACCCCTGTTGCTTTCCCTTCCTCACAAGGAAAAGTCCTTGAGAGGTGTTTGTTTGTATTTTTCCAATTCTTCTACTATTGAAGAACACATGTAAATAGATATAAACCTCTCAAATCTCAAATCTAAGATTATTCAGAATAATCAGATCTCCATGTTAAATTAATATTAAAAAGTCACATTTAGTGGATATTAGGGGATCAAACTTCAAACCCTAATCCTTTTATTGCATTTGTGTTAACATTTATGATTGATTTAATTTAATTTTTTTAGAAGTAGGATAAGAAATTAGTTTCTTCCATTTAATGGTGTACATTAATTGTGATGAAATGAAATGGCAGAAACTAGGACAGCCCGTTGTTCTGAGGGCTCTTGACAAAGTCATGTGATCAACAAAAAAGTGTATGTATGTATCTATGTATAATAATTGTAAGATAACACTGCCTCATTTACTAAGCTGTCTTCTCAGTGCTTAAAAACACTCCCAACTTAGTGCTATGAATCACACATAATTAAAGCTTTATTGTCAATTATTTTTGCAGTTTTAAGAACTAGGTTTTGAATAGGTTAGGTGGGGTGGGGTGCAAAAACACCCCCTTTTTTCCAACCAGAAAAAATTAATAACCTTAATGATGATAGAGTGCAGAAAATAATGGCAAGTTCAGTTATCTGTCAAGTCATGATCAGTTGCCATCCAAACACAGATTGAATTGATGAACACACACACACACAGTCACCTTTAGTTGAAAGATCCAGCAAATTGAGGCAAGAGAATTCAGTTTCTTTTTTTCTTGTTTTGTGTGTTTCATATCTCACTGATCGATTTGTAGCATGCAATTTGATTACTGTGTTTGTTAAAATCATCTGTCAGTTTCCACTGCCCACATCTTATGCAAATCATTAATCTATATATATATATATAATGTTAGTGATGTTTGTCAAAAGGGCACATTTAAAATTCTCTTCACTGTGCCAAAGGAAACCTCAGCACGGCTAATTAATTCAATTGGCATTTTGTGGGCTGTCGAGACTTTGATTTTATTATTTTCTTGAAATATTGTGTTTGTTTATAGATGTTATATATATCCATATATGTATATATATCTGATAAATATATATGTAATTTGTAAACAATCTTTTTTCTTTTTAAAAATCTCTCTGCTGCAGAAAAACCAATACGTGAGTGGTCCTGAGAGTTATGTATGGGGAAAAATCAGTTGGTCCCTCACTGCCATAAGGCTACATCAAGGTGAAGTTGCTCTCACTTTTTAGTCCAAATGATTTCCAGCAATCATATACTATGGAATACATCTTTATTTTAAGTTTCTTCTATGTTCTAATTTCATTTTCCCAAACATAATTAGGGTTCTTTATGTGTGTTTGTTTTTCATTTAGACACTAGTTTTATTAATATTTTGTAAGAAGAATTGACCTATTTTCATAGGGGAATTTCACAGTAAAGAAACTTAATAAAAATCTCAAAAAGAATGGAGCCATTGTGATCATCCGGAAACTTGTTTTTAGGAAAGTATGAATGTCAATATATTTGTTAAAAGCCTTAGTTTTGATTATGAATTGTGGCTAGCTAATCAATCGTATCTTAGAGCTACAAAAGAAGTGATGAAATTGGAATGTGATTTTAAGTTTGTGATATTAGTAGATTCAATGAAGAAAAAAAAGAAAAAAAAAAAACTTGTAGTTGCAAATGGTTATTGTCTTTGGCAATGTAAAGGGTGCATATATATATATATATATGTCGATGAGTTGCGTATGAAAGGAATGCAGCAACCATAATGCTTTTTGTAGTTGTCGATAAAGCTAGCACATTAAAGCCCTTTATTTTACTCTAGACGACGTGCTGGAGAGAAATGGTCCCCGTAAGTAGACAAAAGTATATAACTCCATATATAGTTTGGTTTCGATTAGGCGAAAATCATATTCATTAACCAGAATCACTCATTTTTAATTAGCAATTCCTGTGATCAAGTTAGCTGCACAATAAGGCAAGATGATGAGGGCATTTGATAAGATATTGACTAGCACCACATTGGATGTCGATGCACACGTGGCGTTACGCCCACCATTCTTTCTTTTCAACGCAGAGCTTGGTCGGTTGAAGATGACCTCCATCTTCCTTTCACACATTGCACACACCATTTCATTTCATATCTTTTGTTTTTGGTATTTCGAATTTTAGTTTATGAAGCATCATCTTGTTCTTTTGAGGGGTTCGACTAGAAAATTGAAACAAGTCTTGCGTTTTTAGACAGTATATCTTATGGATAGCTTAGTTCTGCAAGAATCATTGTAGTTTCAGAAGAATTACAGTAAGTGATTGTTCAATTATGTCATTCCTCTCTCTCCATATTCAAAAATCTGTTCTTGATTTGTATGGATCTATAAGTGTACATCTAAATTCTGTAATGTCTGCAAATCCAGCTGATAAAACCTTCTGTTTCTTGCAGGTTTGGTTCTTACATCTCTTCTGAGGGTTCTTTCGAGATCTAAAAACCTCGAAACCATTATAAACACCATCAACACTTCCATTGGCATGAACTTTGATTGACTATGAGATAAAAAAGATGATTCCAAGGGAGATTGCAGATTTGGCCAAGCAAGAAAGCAGCAGTAGCGATCATTCCAAACTCGCGTTTAGGCCCTCGACAACCACGGCTTGGTCGAGGCTAAAAGATCCGCGGATCGTGCGTGTGTCGAAAGCATTTGGAGGAAAAGATCGGCACAGCAAAGTCTGCACTGTAAGAGGCCTCAGAGACCGGCGCGTTCGCCTTTCGGTTCCCACTGCCATTCAATTGTATGATCTTCAAGATAGGTTGGGGCTTAGCCAGCCGAGCAAAGTTGTTGATTGGCTCCTTGATGCAGCTAAGCATGAAATTGACGAATTGCCGCCGTTACAGATTCCTCCCGGAAGCTTCCAGCAAATGGTGGTGGCTTCTCAGGCTGAGAAACAGCGGCTGAAGATCGGCGGAGCTTCTGTGGATTGGGATGATCAGTCGTTGAGGTCATCGTCTTCTAGGGCAGCTGTTTTTGGGGGGAAAATTAGGGTTTCAGGTGAAGATGGTGATGGTGGTGGAGATGAGAGTGTGAATAATTGGGGAAGGAATGAAGAAGACAACAATGGCGACAGGCAGATGATCGCCATGGAAAATCAGGAAAACCTGATGAACAGCAATTCTAGTAATCCTTACAGTTCGTATGCTCGATTTGATCCTTCGAATTTGAGTCTGTCTCACCCTCCGAGAAGCTATGGATCGAATTCGAATTCGAATCCGAATCCTCAACAGGAGGATTGGCAGAGCTTCGGCTTGGTTCCGATGCCGACTCATCATCATCATCATCATCATCAGGTCTTCGTTTATCAGCCTGGAACAACCACAACACAGTCGTATTTTCCGTCCGCCGGAGATTATGATCCTCGGCAGGTGAATTTTCTGAGTCGGTTTCTTCTTCTTCGTCGTCGATTGGAATTGTTTCTCAATCTCAATGTCATACTCATCGTCATCGTCATCAACAGGCTGTGAGGCAGATCCATTTCATGAGCAGTCTCCTCCCTCCGCAGAACGATGATCAGATCGACGGCCAGAGAAAAGGCCGCATTTGATTGCGAAAACCTAACAGGTCAATTTTCTGATCCGATCCTTGTCATTATTTCATGCTTCAATTTCATCGATTCCAACTGTTCGATCGATCACTGGGAGGAAGGAAGGAAGGAAGGAATACTTCAGGAAGAATATATTATTTATATATATATATTTATATAGTATGGGGAGCGATGTGTTCATAGATTTTGCATAAATATTGTCATTTCAGCTCTAATTACATATATATATATATATATGTTCTGCGTGTTTGCTTGTATTTAATTTTATATATATACGTATTTGATTGACGGTAAGTTCTCAAATGATTTATAACATTGTTATTATTAATATTAATATTATTAGGGAGGTTTTCTGTGTTATGTAATTGATCACACCTGCAGAAATGAAGGAAATCTCTGCATTAAATTAATTAATTAATTTACATATTGAATAATCGAACTCCTCCCCTCCAACTCCAAGCTTCTTGTTTCTTCTTTCAGCTTTATACATAAAACACACACACATGCACACAGATTTGATTAATTAGATGCATTTACACATACATATATATACACAATACATGAGGTCTATGTGTGTCTGTTATTGCATTTCATTAATTAAGACCTGCTACTACTGTGTAAGGACAGTAATTAATTTCAAGAGAAGCAAGCTAGCTAACATCATATATATATATATATATATCCATGCATAACATGAGCAGCAGATTAAAGAAGAAGTTTATGGTTATAGCAATATAAGTAATTATATATATATATTATATATATGTATATATGTTATATGGGTGAATGGGACAGACTGTTATGGCAACGTCAACATTACACAATATATATATATCCCACCGAGTCCCAGTCCCCTAAGAGATGACGTGTGGTGTGGACTTGTGATCGTGAAGTCATAGATTCAAACCCTCGACGCCTTAGATCATCTGTCACACATAATTCGCCTAGTGTGACTTATCTGTCGGACCTAACTTACAGGATATTAAGTTCGATCAAATATTTATCCAATACACACTTTTGGACAAACGACTATGAATCAGTCTTCATAGATATATATATATCTCACCAAGTAAAATTTAAAACTAAGAGAAATAGACCGAGAGAGCCCGTAAAAACTAAAAAGTAAAAAGGATGGATTGTGGTCCAAATTAGGAGAGAGAGAAAGAGAGGGATATAGAGAGAGGGCATTGGGGGGTGAATTGGAATAGTACAAAAGTAAACTTAAGCTAGGGTTTGCTCATCAATCATCATCATATATATCCATGCTTGACTTCTCTCTCTCTCTCTATATATATATATGTATATATATATATGATTATTGTGTAGGTAGTTATAATAATTAATTAATTAAGGACCACCTACAATGGCAATTGGCAATGCTATTAGGGTTAGGAAGGTCCCTCACCTCACCTCTCTCTCCAAATTTATTTTACATACCTACTTAGGGTTTGCTTATTATTGATATGAGATTTAGAAAATTACATAAATAAATAATAAGTGTGTATAATATATAAATTTTTTTAGTAAAATAGGTTGAAGAAATTTTGCAAAAGAAACAAATTCTTAGACTTTGTTTACGTGCAATAATTTATTTATTTATTTTTAAATATCATATTGATGATGATTTATTTGTCTAACAAAACATGACACACATACTTTTTTTATTGTTATTTTTCTAAACTCTATAATTAAAAAATCCTATTAAAACCTCAGTTCTATGAGTTCGCCATGCATGTAATATAATACTTCATTCGGCCGCCTCTGAAGGTCATATTTACATTTCGTGTCATTATATTTAACATTAAAAGTATTTTTATATTTGTATAATTTTTTGTACAAATATCTTTATATTAGTATCATTAGACACTAATAAAAATATATTTTTTAATTTTTTTAATTTATACTATATTTTAATATAATAAATAATATTCAAAGATCAACAAAAAAAAAAAAAAAAAAATGAGTTCCCAATTAGGCCAAGTTATGTTAGGGTTTTAAGTTATGTCTATTTGGCTACTGCTAAATGCTAACCAGTTATATACTACTTTCCTTCTAGTGTTTTTTTAGGATACACTTTATGCATATATATATATATATATATATGAAAATATACTATCAATCAATTGTTTAAATAATAACCATAATAATAATAATTAATAAATAAAACAAATAAACATATCTGTTGGAACATGAAGTTTGATTATATCCTAAAATCTAGGGATATGATTTAGATATTATATTCTATGGATTGATTTAGATATTATTGACATAGGCTTAGTTTATAAATATCCATGTATTCTCACTTTAACATGTGTCTGCGTTTATAATAGAATTTTTGACTTGGCAGCGCCCCCAGACGTAGATCATCGTGATCAAACTGGGTTACCAAATTCTTGTGTTATTGATCGTCTCATCTTGATTTCCTGGGAATTTTCGTAACAAGTGGTATAAGAGCCTGATTCGTTGGTAAGGTAGATTGAGAGGAATCGGACATTGGGTCGTTGTGGGAATCCCTTGTGACCTGCGGAGGTGCCTTATGTCGAAAGTCTCCTGGAAGTGTTGGGTCGGTCCCGACTGGTAGGTCAGGCAGCGGGTCCCTTTGTGATAGGCGGTGCAAGGTGGGCAGGGAATGATAAGGGTTTCGGCAAACGCAGCGGAGGAGATATCCGATGTGCTCTCATATCAAGTGAACCTTAGGTTTGTTTGTGGGAGTCAAGATGGATGAAGTCGAGTAAAAGAAGATCGATAGGAAGACGATGAGTGCTGTTCAACTAACCCTTTGGGAGAATGTCTCGACTGAATTTAGATCTGAGGCAAAGGGAAAGGGTGAAGATCAAGAATGGTCAAAGTTGAAGCCGGAGAACACAGACAAGGAAGATGCAAGTCAGGTGGTATATTGAAACTGCAAGGGGCACTTGAAACGACAGTACAGGGCGTTGAAGAAGGATCAAGGTTCGGCAATCGCAGCGGAGGAGATATCCAATGTGCTTATTTTGAGCGTCAGCAATCCAATAGAGTCATGGATTTTGGTCTCAGCAGCGTCATTCCACTCATGCAGTGATTCGGAAATCATGGAATCTTATACCGCAAGGAATTTTGGTGTTGTTTATCTTGCAGATGATGAGACACTAAAAGTTGTAGGTAAAGGGATGGTTCGAATCGGAACACCGAATGGTGGGGAGTGGAGATTGAATGACGTGAGACATGTCATGGGTCTAAAACGGAATCTGATTTCCGTGGGACAATTGGATGAGGTAGGTTACTCGATAGTTTTTGAAACTAACTCATAGAAGGTAACTCAAGGATCCATTGTGGTGGCCCAAAGGAGAAGAGATGGAACTCTCTACATGACGAAAACCATGCAAGACGAAATCAGTTCCGTGGCTATAAATAATGACACAAATTTATGGCATTCTCGTCTCGGACACATGAGCGAGAAGAGGATAGGGAAACTCATGTCAAAGGGAAGATTGTTAGGTCTCAAGTCCGTCGATATTGGAGTATGCGAGGACTGCATCTTTTGAAAGCAACGAAAGGTGGCGTTCTCAAAGGGCGGGAGAGACCTGGAAAATGAAAAGTTGGAGTTGGTTCATACGGATCTGCGGGAACCAACTTTTGTATCGACCCGTGAAGGCTCACAGTACTACCCTGTGGTCATTGACGGCGTTACAAATGAAGTATGGATATATTTCTTTAAGTGTAATTATGATGCTTTTGATACCTTTATGAAGTGGAAAGCATGAGGTTAAATATATTTCTTTAAGTGTAATTATGATGCTTTTTATACCTTTATGAGGTGGAAAGCACGTGCAGTGGGAGTAGTGAGCCGATTTATGAGCAATCTTGAAAGACAATCTAAGGTGGTGACCTTAGATGAATTGAGGTTGTGTTCAACCTCAATGGGCTTCGATGAATGAAAAAGGAGGTTTGGCGTTGTCATTGCGAACGAAATAAAATGTTGAAGTGGAAGATGAAATTGGTCTTCAAGTGGGAGATTATTGGGATATGAAGCCTGATTATATTCTAAAATCTAGGGATATGATTTAGATATTATATTCTAAATTTTTAGGGATTGATTTAGATATTATTGACATAGGCTTAGCCTATAAATATCCATGTATTCTCACTTTAACATGTGCATGCGTACTTTATAGTAAAATTCCTGGCTTGACAGCGCTCCCAGACGTAGATCATCGTGATCGAATTGGGTTACCCAATTCTTGTATTCTTGATCGTCTCATCTTGATTTCTTGGGAATTTATGTAACAATACCTATGGTGTTTAAAATATTTAATTTGAAAACTTTTTGAATTCAATACAAGTATTCGATTTAAATATAAAAGTAAATGTTAGCCATATTGTTTAAAATTAAAAATAGAACTATATTTTAGGTTCAGTGGAAGTGTACCGTGCGCACTTTCAGATAGCTACTGCGAATTTCCATGTTATAAAAAAAATAATAATAATAAAAAAATAGAAGTATATTTATATAAACAATTTTGAATTTTTTGGTACATTCATTTACAGTATTTCTTTAAAGAAAATTTCATATCAAATATTAATTTTTTACTATATAAATAAATTTAAATTAAATATATATATATATATCTCTATCTACACAGAATATCCATATTGTTATATATATATATATATATTAAATTAGTGTATTTAAAGAAAAATATATAACTCAACGTGCAAGTAATAAACAATAAAGACAATAAAAGTTGAAAACATAAACCGACACAATGGATTTGCAATATCTTGTATAAAAATAGATTTATGCATAATGTTTTGAATATATATATATATATTAATATGTGTATTTGTACAATAATATGATATGATATTTTAAAATAATAATAATATAATAATAATAAATTTTTTAGGATGCATACTAAGTAGGCAAAGACATACACTCTCTATCTATCTAAAATCCTACATCTTTTCCAAAAAATAAAGTTCTGTTTTTTTTTGTGAGTTTTACATAGATTTTTACTATTTATATATATTTTTTTTAAAAAAATATCACATCAAATAATTATTTTTTTTATATATATATTATACTATAAATTTATTTTATATTTAAAATATCACATCAACTCCTATTTATATCACATCAAACAAACGGTTGAAATTTAACTTTTTATTATTAAAAAATTTAAACTTAAAAACTAAAACCTTCAAACAAACACACCCGAAGAGTTTTATGGGTTTTTTTTATATAAATTTTTTAAATATTAATTATTGTATTAATATGTTGTACAAATTAAACAACAAAAAAAAAAAAGATTCTATTAGTCTCTTATAATACAAAGATAGTGGTATATATAAAATAAATTATATTCCCTCCGTCCCAGATACCGTGTCTCCTACACTGTAGACAGTGTATTTTAGAAGGGGTGTAATTAGTAGATAATTAAGAATGTATTAGTGAAAATAATTATCCTATAATATAAATAATTATAAATTAAGATTAAGATAACTAATTAGTTTAATTAAAATTAAAAAATTTAAAATAAGATTAAAGTGTGTAATCATTTTCCAAAAAAAAATGACATGGTATGTGGGACGGACACGTAGATATGATATCTGAGACGGAGTAGCATAAATTATATAAATATAATGATAAATACATTATTATTATTTTTTTATTTTTTATTTTTTATTTTTTGTGTCCGGCATATGGTATCAAATTTCCAATATAAATAATTAGTAAAAACTATTTCATGGACCATTAAAGCATTGTTGTAATTATTATTATTATTATTATTATTATTATTATTATTATTATTATTATTTATCTCCTTTCTACTTATTTCTTTTTAACACTAGTATTAATATCAATAATTTCAACTAATAATGTTTACTATTTTATGAATTCATAATAATTTATAAATTGTATACTTTTATTATGTAATATTATATAAATAATATTTGTTCTATGCTATTATATTTTAATTTTTTCCTATTAATTTATATAAATTGTGATAATATCATGGTAATTTTTATTCTTATTATAAAATGTTGGAATGATTAATTTTGATTTGTGGAATTGTAGCTATTTGAACATTTAAATGATTGAAAAAAGCTTAGATTATACTCCCTCCATCCCAAATACCCTGCAACATTTCATTTTTTGTACGTCTTAGACACCCTTCAATATTTTTAAAATAGAAAATAATTATTTATATTTAATCTTTTCCCCACACTTTATCCGCTCACATCATCCAAATAAAAAAATAAAATATATATTTTTCTTTCCATCACATCACCTAGTTTCTAAATTATCCTACTTAATACTATCCACCTAAAAACCCGTGCCAAAACCAAATGTTTCACCATGTTTGGGCAGAGGGAGTATATAATCAAAATAAATTTTCGTTTTGAGATCATTATAAAATTGATATGAAAAAATTAAAAATAATTTTGCATTGTATCTATATTGATAATTTTTACTTTTTAGTCATTGTAACACTTATTACCCTTGGAAAGTCCAGGGATCTTAATACCAGATCAATCCACACCGTTCATCGTGTGAAGGGAGAACCGGTGGTCCGGGGATCCAGCAAAATCACATGGCAAAAACACACGTCCGCAGCATGCGGTCGCAATTAAAATATATATTAATTGTGAAAAGACAAAAAGCTCCCGGCGAGGATCGAACTCGCGACCTTTCGCTTACGAAGCGAACGCACTACCACTATGCTACGGAAGCCCTGTTTGCTACATTTTAAATATTTGTTTTATTATAGTATAATATTTGATAAAAGTAGATTTTAATTTCAAAATAGTTGACATATTTTTTTTGATTTTTCTTGTAAAATATACATTTAAAATATATTTTAAAAATATAAATCAACTGAATTAAGCTATGGTATTAAAATTTATGTCAATAAATAAATTTTTATTTATATTTAACATTCCTCAATTTTTATGATATTAACTTGTGTCAATCGTGTGTGTTTATATATTTATTTGTATTATATATTTTTATTATTTACAAAGAAATATGAATATTATATACGTATATTTTTTATTACATTTTTAAAATCATTTATATATCTTTTATCCAATAAAAAATTTAATAAATACTATATTAGACGATGCTACAATTTAGGAGATAATGATTAAAAAATAATTGCATTTTAATATAAAAATATATAATATTATAAAAAGTATTTAAAAAATAATACTCTCCATCCCAATAGTCTTATTTACTATTTTTATTGATCCTAAAACAATAATCTCATTTTCATAAATAATCATATCACTATATACAACTACTCTTACTCTTTCATTATTATTACACAATTGTTACTACCTTTTACACCAAGGGCAAAAATGTCTTTTACATATACTTTTTACCATGTCGTGTCCAACACAACCAAAACTATAGTTTCGAAATGGAAAAAGTAATAAAAAAAAAAAATAATAACAAATTAGTTATTAGGAGTATTTGTTATGATAGAGTAATAAAATTGTGATTATAAATAAATTATATTTGAGATAAAAAAAAAAAATAAGCTGATGATACGTGATAAATAAAATCTATTTTAAAATTATCAATAACTCGACTTACATGAAAAATATTGCCTACATGGCAATTCAATATACTATTTTAGTTAGATAGTTTTTATACTTTTACTTCTAAAAGTACAAATAAAATAAATATTTTTATAAAAATTAAGAGTATTTTGTATTTGTATATACATCTTATTTTTAATATAATAAAAAGAGATATTATGAATATAAAAATAATAAAAAAAATACTTTATACTCTCTCTATACGTTAATTTTATATACTCCATCCCTCTTGTAATAAAGTATATTATAACTTTCAATATATTTTATTCATATTATATTATTAATATCAACATTTTAAAAAAAAAAAGGAAAAAAAAATTTTCTAAAAAATATATAAGATTTATTTATAATAAATAATATTTACACACTTTTTAATTTATATTTTTTAATACATTTAATTTATTCAATTAAATTTTAAAATAAAAAATTATAAATTAAAATTAAAATAACTAATCAATTTAATAAAAAAAAAAAATTTAAAATATAATATGTAAATTATTTTTCTAAAAAATTGGAAATGACATGTGACGGGACGAAATGGAAAGTGTGAAGTGGCACGGAGTACATCGATTCCACGAGGAAGGAGTGATTGGCTACGCGAGAATAAGCTGCTGCGAGGGCTTCGTCTCCAATATCTGTAGCAATGGTGGTGCCTTTGTCCCCAAAACTATTGCATAGGTAAGCTTTTCGTTGAGATCATGTGAATGGTGGAAATATCTATTGTTGAATACTAGTAACTCTCACACAACAATGAGGAATTGATTAGTTTAACTGATTATGGCTCCTTCCCGCTAATGAACAACTAAGTGAATGGCGGAAGGTTAATAGTGTGCTTCATTAGATTAGATTGTTGAGAAGAGCAGCCGTGATTCCTCTTAGCATTCGTATGAACTTAATGTCCACCGCTAGAGAATTCTTTTCGGTGTATGATTGCCAACTGCTCTGCTTAAGCAAACATGCTTATATGCCTTCCTACTCAAATTTCGTAAAATTAACCGATTGTATATTGTGATTACCTGTTATTATGATCCGAACATAGTCTGATTCTGGAGTAGAGAAAGAAGTTACGTACATTTTAGGCTTTATGTGGCCTGATTATATTTTGTTTCTCCTTAATAAAATGAATTTCAGTTCATTATGGTTTCTGCATTCATTTTTTACGAGCTGAATTTCTTTTAGTTTGTGTCTCTACCTGGTGATTCAGTCAGATAAACAATTATCCATATAGAATGGTGAATTTGATACTTTGAGGTGTTACATTATGTGGGATTCCACAAAGTATGAGTTCTTCCATTGATTCATGGTAGTGACGGCATAGCCCCATGAAACTAAAATGAACTCTTCTGCCTGATGATCCACCCACATTTGTAGGGCAAATGGAGCCTGGAGGTATTGAGTAGATATGTGTAAAATCCTCAAAATGGCCATGCCCAGCAGTGCAAAAGGTGCCATTTTGCATCATAGTTCTATATGTAGTTGATTAAAAGCCATGGCACAAACACTACAGTCTCTTTTGTCTTCAATGGTGCATTTTACGTTATTCAATGATCAATATAAGTCATTGCATGATTGTACCCAAGCACATCCTAGGAATGAGCTAAAAAACGGAAAGGAAGGCATTGGAATTACAATATGATTGTGCTCTCTATTCTAAAAGAGTTATATCATGACATGCATGATCCATTAGGAAAGATGGCTCACAAGGGTCCATCCTACTGTCTAAATAGTTGCCTGTTAGGCCAATCCCGAACTTCCATACCCTTGCCTATGACTACTTCATTGATAAGGTCTTTGAAGATGAGGCGTTCGATGGCCAACACCACGGCTGGAACCTCACCCCTGTAATCTGCCCAGTCTTCTGATTGATATTTCATGTCTGCTATTAAGAGCCTGGTGATTTCATCTTCTGCATTATCAAGATTGCAATTTGAAATCTGGCTCACATAGTCCATCTCTGTATAAATCTCATCCAACAGCAACTGTGGACTTGTCGTTTTCTTCCCCCCTGCAAATCTGCCTGAATTGATCTTACGAACCAATATTTCATCTACCATATCAAAAATGATCCTCCTTTGAATTTTCTTATCTGAGGTTGTCTTCTCATTCTTGTCGATGACTTCACCATGAAAGTTCCCCAAAGCTTCCTCTGATTGTTCAATGACATGGAACATATCAGGATTTATGAGATGAGATGATGAAACAAGCTGTTCAGTAGTTGAGATGAAGCTTGAGTTTTTGAGAAGCCCTGATGTCAATAGAACCTTGTTTATGTATACATGATCTGGATTTTGGCCACATCCAGACACCAATAAAGTAGAAGCTTCATCGGGATAATTGTGCAAAGACCTAAGCTCTTGAATGGGGTGTCTCCCGCCTTCTACTTGCTTAATGTACTCGCAACCCTGATCAGGTCTTCTGCATTCTGTTATAATTTTCTGATCTTCAAGATGCCATTCTGCTTCACCTGGGCTTGAAATATCATCTGTTGAGTTTCCGACCAAAGAACATGCCCGTCAGATGGTAAATTCATATTTCTAGCATATACAAGTACTCATTATATATGTAAATATATTTTGTCTGTGAATCCTATCACTCTTGTCTGTTGACTTTGGACAGTTCTTTTAATTGGCGCAACTATAGAACAAGGGTGGCATTTCCTATGTGGTTTGTTTTTGTTGCCTTGTTCAAAGAATCGCCACAATTAGTAGCCTAAAAAAATAAAAAAATTACAGATGGATAGTATTAATATCTCTGATATTCTTTATTAATCACTGATTGTAAATTCTGATGTTTGTTAAATCGCCATCTCTGGTATTAGATAACTCAAAAATCTATAATTTGTACAATCTATTTAGCATTCAGCAACCAGTGTATAATGAGAATAGTTACATATAACTGATCACTGTTCACCTAGTTTTCAGTAAAGTGCTACAAAACAATGGCGACAGAGGAAAAAGTTATTACTCACTATGTCCTAACTATACCATGTTATGTCTTGGGGTATGGTCTACTTGTGAAATGTTGAGAATAATCCTTGTTAGGCATCTAAGGCACATTTGCATATTGCTCAATATGATTGAAGTTGGTGACATGCTTGAAATTTTTACATGATGGATTAATACTGAGAGAAACAAAGCATTACCTTGAAAAGCTGTTGATGTCTTCTTTACTGGAGATGGAGAATCTTCACAATAGAAGGAATCGTCAAGAACTGAGATTGGACTTGGTTGCTCCACTGTGGTTGCTATATTATCAACTGCTGGCTTATGTTTTCTTGTTCTTGGCACATAATTCTGAAAGAGTTTCAGAAACCTGTCAACTAATGATGAAAAACAAATAATAAAGCATCAACTTCTCTATATAGTGTCTTTTTCATACCTTCTTTTGCTCAGCATTTATATTAGTCGAATGAGCCAGGCTTGCGATCTCTGTTTCTGTCAGAGAAACTAGGCTGTTATTGCTTTCTGATTTTACGGAAGCTGTGTCGCCTTGGTAACTTGAGTATCTTGTCTCACTACTTAGCTCACTCAGCTGATCATCACTTAACTGCAGATCTTTGGCTCTTACTTTGGTTTTCTTATTCTGGGAACCTTTGTTTATGATTTTCTTACCATGTGACTTCCTGACATCTCTTGAGTCTGACAGTGAAGTGCTGGGACGAGATGGTCCTGTCCTGAGTGGATTCTGTTGCAATCTTGGACTCGTAGTTCCAGAATTTCTTCCAGAAGTAGTACAGTTTTCTACTGTAATGTGTTGAGCTCTTCCTGAGGTTCTGCCCTGCTCTGGAGTTCTCCAAGTAGTTTTCTTGCCAGGGGATAGAAAATGCTCCATGGAGTCTTTGAGATTGTTCTTTGGTGAAAAATCTTTAGCCCTTTGTCTCTGGCCTGAGTTTTCCCTGTTATATTTAGGTTCCTGAGTTTGGACTCGCCACAATTGTGGCATCTCTGCTGCAGAGATCTGTGTGGAATATGGAAGGTTGACTCTATCTGTTGTTTTATCTGGCTTCATGATCATGACTGGAGGTCCTAATGGCCTTTGAGTTCCAGGACCCTTGATCAGAACTCGACCATGATTCTTTCCATCCTTCCAGCTTGACAAGCTAGAGTTCTGATCTGAACAGCTTCCTTCCACACTGCATGTCATCTGCAAGGCAGCTCCTGCAGATTCCCCTCTTTGATTTTCCATCTGCTCCCTTGTTTTTTCCATTGCCTCGAGTATCCGTTTAAGGGCTCGGAGATCCTTGCCTGACTTTTTGAATTCAAGTTCTGCTATCCTTTTTTCAATTTCACCATAAACTGACAGTGTCTGACGCTTTGTATCTGTTGCAGCTTTCCTAGTCTGTAAAGCCATTTTTGGAGAGCCTTGGCTGCAATCTTGTTGTTTCCAGGGAGCAGGTTCTGTTGGAAATCTCAGTTTCCTGACAAAATTGGCATCGGATTGTCTTGATGATGGAGATGCATGATTGGTTTGCAAAATGCGAGGTGAGTGAGTTACTTGGCTTGACTTGCTTTGCTCAGCTGATGAAACCATATGTGAAAGGAAAGCTTCTTTAGCATATGATTGCAGTGTTGGAGTCGAATTTTCGTGCAAGGAGATGGCATCGGGGAATTCCTCCAAGCCCATCAGCTTTGCTACAATGCTGGATGATCGATGGTGACTCCCAGATTCTTCATTGATTGGAAGAACATCACTGAAGGTCACTTGTTCCTTGTTCTGATCCCGGACAAGAAAGTTCGATCGTGACTCAAGGGCCGAGTATTTCATGGAACTTGTTTTGCTATCTAATGATAGTCTTGGGTGTTCTTTGTGCTTCCCACCCCACTTAATCGTCTCCTGTGATTCTTTTCCATCGTAAGAGAAGCGTGGGAGTGCAAGCCGCTCTTTAGTATTCCTTGTACTTTCTCGGGGCTTACCCGGAACATGAGCCAGCCCCTCACAACCTCTGAGTTTTGTCTTCTCAGAATCAAGCTGCAATGAAGGCCTGGGGGAGTCGATGTGCTTCATCACCTTGCCTCTCCTTTCATTAGCAATCCGGGATTTGACAGGCAGGGCACGTGCTTCTCTATACACTGAATCTTTCACTACGTCCTGAAGATCGAGCGATTGTGTGCTCTTAGCTGATGAAGGCTGTTGCTCTTTTGTGGCAGTGGCCAGAAATGTGCTTTCAGGAATATTGATTAGCTTCAACGGAAGGGCATCTGGCTGAGCTACCTTACTGCAATCAATCGAGGAGAATGTCGAGGTTGAACAAGTCGAGGATGAGTACGAGGCCCTGGACGATTCTGTGGAGGTTCGTGGCTTCTCTTTCTGCATCTCCAAACCTTTTTCCTGCAAAGGTACGTAATCTAATTACTTCTCTGTTATCAATCAATAGAGAAAGCAAGCAACTGCAAGAAAATAACTCATTTTGCCTGTTTTCTTCTTACCATGGCAGCCTTCATGGACTTGTAATCCTGCTGGTGTTGAGGACCTTTAAACAAACACAAATTGAAGCACTTCTAGTTAGCAGAAGGTGCATGAATTATTGATCATTGATGCAGTAGCAACCTTATAGGATTTGATCTATATCCATTGAGTCAACAATCTTAAAGGTAATCAATTCACTTGTAAATATGAAACAAAGAGGTCTAATGTGATGGCATGCCTAGGGAATGAAAAAGCAGAGTTGTGGTGCCTGGGTTGAAGAAGACTGAATTGCAAATGTTACCTTGAAGCAGCCTCTTGTGGCGGTGGCTGCTACCTCGTCGGGCAGCGAGGAAATGGTGACGATCAAAGAGTTGGAAAATTCCATTCATGCATCCAATCTGCTTCTGCAGATCTCGGCTGTCATCTGTAAGAGGTGGAACTCTCCTAACTGACATGTTGAAATCTTCCTTCAATGCCAAAGACAGAAGAAATAAGGTTGTTACTGCTCTCTCTCTCTCTGCCTATACTTGTCTTGCTGCTCAAATTCTAGTCTCCCAGCTATATATCTGCATTTTTCAAGTGATTAATATTGTCTCCAACTGATTTGCAAGTGTTCAGGCAATTAAAGCCAAGAGATTAGCCCTGGTTCAAGATTTCAGGGCAATCAGATCCTACTCATTATGTAATTGTAAGGTTCTAATCCATAACTATATATATATATATATATAATGTACTCCTGTTTGTATCTGGGAGGATTCATTGCACTAATTGGTTTCAGTTATTTAAGCTTTTTCTAGATTGTATGAACTGAAAGAAATGAAGACAAGAATGGACAGAGCACTTACCATGAACTGAAATTGTACAGAGCTGGTGAAAGGCGCCAGGAATCAGTAAAAGGAAACTCAAGGATTGTCCCAAATCTCGTTTCCAACCACCATTGAATGCATCAAAGCAACTGTCAGCAAGAGATGTTTTAATACTTCTTGGCTTTCTCACACAACAATATGAATGAATGGAGGTTAGCTCCCTGACTGTCTTTTGGCTCTCTTTTAAGGTAAAAAATAAAGGCTGCTGAATCTGAATGCCAATTATATTTTTATAGAAGGAATGGATGATATATATATATATATTTATATAACTCCAGCAAGTACTTCATTTTCTTATTTGTTTTTAAGGTGAGAATGTGGGTCAGATCCAATGTGAATATGTGGGACATCCACACTTTCTATGGCCATTTTCTTCCATGCCCATGTGGACTTTGGAGCCTCTAGATTGGCATGTGGACTTTGTCAGGTAATATTAAATTATTTCATTTCTGCACTTGCAATCCACTTCAATCTAAACCAATTTTCAAAACATCTTCTTTTTCTGGAAAATCATCCCTAGAAAAAACCACCACATTTTTTTCTGGAAAAAAGAAACCAAAAAAATACTTGCATCTTAATTAGCTCCATTTTCTTGATTGGTGCAGCATTTATTTGCATGCATGTATACACACATACATACATAGGCTTTTTTAAAACAACAGTTACAGCATTATCAGCTGGCAATATTAAATTCTGGTGATAAAAACTTTCAAAAAAGGGGTCACATATAGTCATTAATGGGCAGTTGAAATTTAATCTGTTGCCTCACATTACTTGTGCTGCCTGCCATGGAAAAAGATTAGCTGCTTCTGTACAATGTCGTTGGAACTATTCAATGCTGGATTTTCTCTGCAACTTCATTTAGTAATAACAGGGCTCTCCAGTAGTTCCTATTATTGTTATTACATTTATAATTTTAAATTTTTATCTGAACTCTTTGATAATCCATGTGCACTTGAAATGTTATTTGGAAATCTGTAGGAATCCCTACTATTTCTTGACCACTGCTGCTTACAATACACAAATAATAAATAGGATGGAAGATGATAATGACATATATGTGAGTGTGTGTAGATTAAGGGACACTATGATTCCCCACCTCATCAAGGATTGCCTGCCTCTTGCCCTTCATCTATTTATTTCTTTGTGGGATTTTTTATATTGATTAATTTTCTTCCTTATTCTAAACATGGCTGTCCAAGCTTCACCAGCTAGCATTTAAAAAACCAATTATTGCAGTTTTGGTTATGAATTTTGCCAATTCATGCATGATCATGCTTGTGGGACATCAGGTAACATCAATACTACTGTTCATTCTTATGTTCCCATGCTTGCCTGAGCTCTCTTTTATTTCTTTCTTTCTTCCTATTTGTTATTATTATTATTTTTATTAATTAGGGGTTTTGTAGTCACTGACTGTGATATGATATTAATTAAGATATTATTAGTCGAACTTTAAATCTTTTGATGTGTAGATATATCATTGGCTGCATGTTCTTTGGTCTGAACAAAAATTAAAGTGATTGTTATTGGGCAAAGGTTGCATTAAAACCTCTTTAAATTTCTCCACATAATTTTATCCTTGTTGCTCTTTTCATTTTATCCTAAACTGAAAGCTGTAGAAAAATTTATGAGTAATTCCAACCACTTATCTTCTTTCATTATTTGAGAATCAATGCAATTAATTGGTTATGTGTATCCTTAGAGAAATATCAATGTGATTCCTTTACTTCCAAAATTACTCACTCCTATATCTTCCTTTCAACTGTTTACTTTTGTGTATTAATTCACTGTAGAACTATATTTGAGATGTGTGTATATATTAAAGATCACCCATTATTGTACATTATATTTGTAATCTTTATAGCCAAATTAAATACCCTCATTTTAGATCCCACCCCCACTAACATTTAGGTATGAAAAATTGAAAAGAGAGTTCCCAAAAATAAAATAATAGGAGAAGCCATTAAACTAATCCTTTATTCAAAGAACATGGGATGTAGTAACCAAGAAGATCCCTCTATACCATATACTACATCTTGGATATATACCTACTATACCTATGCTATATATATACATATATATATCTATATGCTCTACAATAATTGTACTTGTGGGTGCTCAAAATTTGACCTCTCTATGCCCTCCAAAAGCCCCTATTATTTATGGTTATGATTCAAGTTTTTTGACTTTTAGGAGCCACTTAGTAGAAAAATGAAGAAATTGTAGGGCTTAGGGGATGAATGGAAGTTTGTAATTTGTTAAAAATTTAGATAGTGCAAGAGGATGATGATTATGTGGAAAGTGTAAGAGAGATGATCCCATGAGGGCTGCCTCAAATTGAGAGGGCAAGAACCAACTAAGCTGTCCTAATCAATCAATTGGAAAATACTATGTTCCAAGAAACCCTACCCTTGATAAGGTCCAACTTGATTGGCACATGACCTTTCCCCCCACCAAATCAACCATGTGCATGCATTGCATAAATTATTATTATTATTATGAAATTTAGTTGGGGTCAAATTTGGGATGATGATCATGCATCAATGACCTAATTAATTCTCTTTTAGGGGGGATCAATGCTACATTATCATGATTTCTAACTCATTGATTATTGAAGGTAGTGATCATGTTCTCCTTTGGGAATTTGAGCCCATAGATAAAAATAAGAATTTTTTTTTTTGTAATGGGTTAGGTCAAAGAAGGGGAAGGGGAAAATTGGAAGAATTTTCTACTATAAAATATAGTGTTTTCAGTCAGTGCTTCGAAGATACACAATTTTTCAAAAAATAGTACTCAAAAAATAAAGATATAATAAATACACAAATAATAATAATAATAATAATAATAATAATAATAATAATAATAATAATAATAATAATAATAATAATAATAAAACAATAAATATATTAAGGAATAAAAATACACAAAACGTCGTTTACAAACACACCTTTAGCTTTCTTGTGTTTTTGCTGCTTTGATAGTATTTTGAAAATAATAAAACTTTGAATTCAAAATATATATTTTTTCATTCAAAAACTAGGAAATAAGTATCGAGTTTGTTCTTGAATAAAAAATTAAAATTTTTTTTTTTCCATGTGCTTTAATTTTTACTTTTTATTCAATCCATTATTTACTTTTAAAATTACTGCATCTAATATTTTTTTTATTATAAAATATTATATTTACTAATTAATTTTTATATAAAAAATATCATGATCAAATAAAAGATAAATATTCTTTAAATATATTATTTTTAATGAAAAATATATTTAGATAGAATATACTGTAAAGGTAAAGCTATGCGAACGCGTAGTTGTGTTTTATCTCATTGTTATTGAAAATTATAAAATTATTATTGGAAATTGTTAATTTAGGATTATAACATTTAATTTTTTTTATTTTAGATATTCTGTGAGAAAATAAATGTATTTTTATTGAAAAATATAGCCCATTTGTATTATTGAAAATCATGTAACTATTAAAAGAAAAAATTTATTTTTTCTACTAATAATACTAAAAAATAATCCTAATAAGAAACAAAAAAAAAAGAATCACACCTGTATATATATATATATATATATGTATAGGGTTTATTATTATTATATTTTGGCCAAGGGCTTATCAAAAAGCAATAATCGGATGTGCAAGAAAAAATACAGTACACCAAAATTTTAGTATCCATTAAATTACATTCTTGCACCATACACACAAACACGAAATGATTTAAAAATTCAGATTGTAGTATATAGTCCAAGAAGCTTGGTGATGAAGAATTCTGACAAGTAATAATTAAATGAAAATGGACAGAATCAAAATTGCCAGTTCATGTGGCAAATACAAAATCACAAGCCATCATCTCTGTACTGCACATGCAATTATCTTATGGTTTTCTGCAATCTGATCCATTGGGATCTGAAAGATCAACCCACAAAATTTCAATAAATTAATATAAAAAAATAACTGTCAATATCTCGATTTGAAAATGATGATGATCCCACTTCTGCTGTCAGGGTATTTTATTATAATCATTATTTATATATATATATACAATTAAATATATTCCACATCAAGAAAAAGGCAATTAATTGGGCTACAACTATAGGGAGAGATCTTATCCACCAATTACATACACATACATATACATATAATTCCATTTTATAAGACATCAAACTGTCCCCATTTCATTAGGATCCAAGTCATTGTATTGTTAGGGTCAAAACCTAATTCCTGCACAATTGGAAATTTATGATAATTTGTAACTATGGAAAACAACCTAAATCATCATTTTAGGTTTGGATATTTATTTCATATCTGGTTTCTTGCATGTCAGTACAGTAATGATTCACTCCCAAGCTTCACATAGAAGTAGAAAACAAAGAACAAAGTACCCACAAGATTTCAGTATATCATATTTAGGTAGAAACAAACACATAATAAATATCACTCACTTAAATTTGCAATCGTTTTAATTCAAAACTTTAGCTAAATTTTATACATCAAGCTCCGATTAAGTTCAAGTTACCCGGCATCACTCGATAAGCTATTCGTATGTATAGACATGTATTGTCATGTCACAAGAACTAATATCGCTTCATTTTAGATGTCTTGTATGCGTGTGTGCGCATACATACATACATACATACATGCATATATATGTATACCCGATAAAAAAAATTTCTTTTCTGGTTGAAAACTCGATCGTATAACTATACGATTGAGTTTGTTCAAGCTCAAGTTTGAGAGTATGTATGGCGCGCGATATACTTGAAGTTGATAAGACTCAGCTTCCAAAAATGTTTGGGATATTTAAGAAACAAGAAACAAGAAACATCACTCATGTGTGTAGTCACTATGAATGAATAAACAGCCCACAAAAAGTGATTTAAGTTCACCTCAAGTGTTCCAGCAATATTAACTATTCCCATGTGATCGTAAATGCTCTATAAAGAATCGATCTTTTGTCATCAGATCAGATGCATGGGAAAATGAACAAGGGCCACATGCATGGCTTCAACTTCTTCAACAAAATCCCAAATAGCTTTCAAGGATTCATAGCTATTCAGCAATAGTTTTGAAAGCCTTTCTTGCACATGTCACTTTCCATCCCATCAAAAACCATAACCATATACACACACATACATATATATTCATGTGATGTCAGTTCATATTTTGCATTTGTATTATATCAACATGTCTTGTATTGTTGGTTTATCTATCTATATTTGTGATCAACACCATGCTGAATGATATTCATTCTGACATGTATAACTAGAATATTAATTCTTCACTACATCATGTATAGCAAAATTATCTATAGCCACCTCATCAATCATCTTTGACAACATTTCAAAGTAAGACTACTTATCTTACCTAAAACCTCAAAAGTGTCCAAATCCAATTTTCCAAGCATCCCCAATATCCTCACCATTCCATCCCACAGCACCATTACCATTATGGAGATCTTTATATATTACTACTATTATTTACAAGAAAATAAGAAAAAGTACTGACTAACCTTTCTTGCTCTGTAGTACTGTCCTAAAGGTTCTGCCCTTTTGGTGTGGCATCGCTATCAAAGAATGGCAATAATTGGAGACTGTACTATTGAGATGCATCTAAGTCTTGGTTAGTGTAGAATTTGCAGAAAGTTTTTGGACTTACTAGGCATGCTGGTCATCATTATGCCAATTCTTGTTTTCATCCTTCCATTCTCTTGTGTTGGATCTTTTTCTCCACCCTAGGCCAAGAAGTACATCTTCTTCAATCATGGCTTTCCCATTGTTTACTGTTACAGAAAATGGGGGGGGGGGGGGGGGGGGGGGGTGGGGTGGGGGGGAGCCCATTTCTCTTTCTGATGAAGCTGAAAATTATAGGAAACCTCCAAGCAAAAATATATGTAGATAAGATATTTGTAATTGTGAGTCTAGAATAATTAAGAGACACAGATATAATAAAACAATATGCTAGAACACACAATTCCTTTGAGATATTTGTAGCCTTTTCAAATAACATAAGCATATGTTATTTGTAGCACGCCAAAACTTAATGACAAAGTTAACTCAAGCAGACGCTTGTGTTAAGTCATCAAATTGATCCACAAAGATGTAAAATAATCCAACGTTGAAAATGAGAACACAGTAACAACCAATGGTATGATCCCAAAAAGCATCAACTGTTTATCGAACTGAATTCAAAAAGTTATTATGAATTTCAGTTCAAGTATATATAGTAGCAATGGATTAAAGATATATGCTCACCGGCTCCAACCCTTTTTCCAGTTACTATCAGTGTGAAGCTGCCCAACTCATTTCTATAATGTATATATGCGTATGTGTGTGTGACTGTGCATGTTGGACTTACCTAAATAACTGCATCTGTATCCTATATTTGTATATTTGAGATCAGACACCTTGCTCAGCAGCTCGATTAATCCAAATTCAATGAGCAAGAAACAAAAAACATATATAGCTTCCCAAGATCATTTAAGCCCTTCGAAAGAACTCAAACGAGGTACGGCATTGGATTGTTTTCCGTTTGGTTGGACAGTGTTTGAAGAACTCCCGAGTAAAACCCCCATGACAAATTACTTTCATTTATAGCACCCTGACCAAGTGGATGTTGCTCGACATATTTCTGTACATTTTCAGATGTTAGCAGCCCTTGCAAATAAACTCTCAGATCACCTCCCGGACCTGCAATGCAGATAATCGCCTCATTAAACCAGAAAATGTAGATGTTGGACGTGTATATAATATAGAAGCATATTCAAGAAATGATGCACAATGATGACTCCGCATGTTTATTTAATCTTCAGAGGATATTTAATCTTCAGAGGAGGAAAATGTTGTGAAATAATGATCTAAGTCAGTTTAACATAGAGAATATAGAAGGGAAAACTGAATGGATCATTGTAATCAACAGAAAAGTATCAGCAAAGTTTTTAGATCCTCTCACTGCAATTGCTTCTTCATCAGCTTATGTAAGTTCCATGATATATTTCAATTTCTAACTCTAAGGCTCTAATCCCATGCAAGTATCTCCGAACATGCAAGAAGAACAGTTCACTCAAAACCATTCTTCGCAGAGATTTCCACAAGTTCAAGCACAAGCCACTTTTAAGTAAAATGAATGAACAAGATAGACCGTGCCAACTAATACAAGAGAGACTTTGGTCCTCTGAATTGTCTTTAATAGGGTTACTTTGCTCCCAAAGGTGACAAAATACATCTAATTATGTTATTAGGAACATTAATTAGTAGTAAACTCTTTTCATAGGAATGTAATGCCATAGAAGAAAAAGAAGAAAAAGTGTAAAAACATAAATTATGAAAAATAAATAAGTCAACCTTACCTAATGAATTGTCATTCTTATTCTGATATTGGTACGAATGTGGAAATATTGCAGTATGCAACTAAAGGACAAATTAAAACAAAGTTAGAATCCACCTAAACAAAAAGAATGAGTTATAGATATATTGCTCAGATTATGTGAGGTTAAATACTTACTGGATTGAGCAACGCCTTATAAGGAGAATCATCCAACAAAAGTGTGTTTGATTCATTATAATCTCCTTTCTTCCAAGGCAAAGTAGGATCTTCATTTTCCCAAATTTTACTCAGTTCCTTGCAGACCAGGGGCTTATGTCTGTTCTCAAGAGTATTGTACCCGGTTTGGGTACTATGATACATATCCTGCATCCAGTAGTAAGTTCATGTCCAATCAATATTTGATTTTTTGGGATTAGAACCAAAAAAAATAAAAAAAAACAAACATAACCACATCATATCATAATTTTTTAGGATCTAAGATATAAATTTAGTTTAGGTATCACATACATTTATAGAGAACCTATTAACGTGGTCCTTATTTTAATGTGTTATGTGTTAAATCATGCATAGCATAATAGATACCAATTTACTTGAACCTCAAAGCATGAGTAATTTTTCTATGGTATAGACCTTGTTGGATGTTAGTAAGTGTCGTGCATACCAGTCTATTCCATGATACATGCCAGAACTGAACTTAAATAACCAATAAATGGGACTTACGATGTATAACGCATTCCTTAAATTAACAGAAATTCCTCTATAAAAATGCAAAGTCCAATTCACCATAAGCCAGATGCTTAAAATGTATCAAGAACAAAGTATATGTAAATTTTAATTAACATCACATAACTGATCTACATATCTGAATAGAGGTTAACTCAGGCAATTGTGTTGAAAATTTACCCAACAAAATTTCAGTTTGTTCCTCAGACCTCCCAATAGATAAGTAACAACCCTATCAATTATTCTCCTGCAAAACAAATACATGTCCCCAAATGAGTACGATAAATAGTAAGAAAAAAGTTCAAAAAGCATAAGCAAACTAAATTTAGGAGTCTAAATCGTTGAAATTATAAAGAAAATCATTCTGTGTGAGTTTGTGAGAAATAATCAAAATCAGAAAAGGAAGTCTAACAGTTTGAAGAGTACTTGGATCTTGACGACCATATGCCCACATCGAAATGTTGGAAACAGAACTTCAAAAAATCATCACAGAATGGTCTCTTGAAAACTGCAGAATCATGAGTTGGTCATAATTAATCCAAATTGAACATCATACTATCACAATAACAAATGCAAGAAGTGTTTCACAATACAACAACATCAAATCTTACTTGCTCGCCCTAATATATAAGCATCTGCTGTGCAATCTAGTGGTGGTGGCATCACTATGTGTGCAAGGAGACCATTCACATCAAGGACAATAAGCTTTTTCTTAATACGAACACTGCGGGGCACTATTCCTGGATGTAAATCAGTGGACACACACTCTGCTTCCTTCACATCAGGAGAAGCAATATGTTCAGCCACACCAATATCATGACTGGAGAAGGTATTCCTGCCTTCATAGTTTACCCCATTCATACCACTTTTACAAGTTTCATTCTTTTCATCCACTGGATCAGGGTTGATCTTATTCTGAATTTCAAGAGGAACAAGTTTCTGTTCCACTTCCATGGGTTTGAGTCTAGGTCCTGGCCCTTCACCCAACTCAGATAAAATTCTGTTACTTGAATCTGCAACCACATCTGATAAATCAACAGTTTCTCTATCTTTGCAGGAATCCAGAAGGTTGGCCGTGGAAGGTCCTAAATCTGATAAAGACGATTCTTTTCTTGAGGAAAATTCAGATTCTTGAGCTGCACACTCTATGTTTACCACATTTATCCCACCATTAGAAGTTTCATCCTCATCACCCATACGAGTCTGGCTGGGCCTATGTTCGATAGTTTCAAGAGAAAGGAGTTTCTCCTCCATGGGTTCCATTGAAGGTTCAGTCACAACTTCAGCTAATACAGAAGAATTTACGTTACTTGGGACCTCAACTCCTTTGGATACATCAACAGGCTCTGAATCCTTACCCGAGCTTAAAAGTTTATCCTTATCAAGCACTATATCTGATAAAGATGTTTCTTTACTTGTGGAAAATTCGGATTCTGCAGCTTTCAACTCATTCTCAATGTGGATGCCTTTGATCTCTTGTCTATCTGATAACTGCAAATTTAACTTCTCATTTGTTGGGTTTGTACTTTGGATTGCATCTTTTACTTTTGCCACCTTTTTTCGCTTCCTTCTTTTTCTTTTGCCACTCACACCCCCTTCAGCAGGGTTTACTGTGGACTCTATATCCATCAAGCTCTGGTCCACACCTACGAGCTCATCCTTAGATTTTACCTTCTTGACTCTTTTCCGTTTCTTTCTCTGTTTTGCATTTGTATTAACACCAGGAATGCTGTCTATTGGCGCTGACACAGGATCCTCAACCGCTGGTTGCATGGGAGAATCAATCACAGGAATACTTTTTTCCAAGGTATCTGTGACTATTTTACAATCTCCAATTTTTTCAGGCACATCCAAGTTTCCACACATCTGCTCAGCGATTTTTGCTTCATTCTTCTCCATTCTCTTCTTCTTTGCTCTCTGCGCCCTTCTTTTACTTGATCTGGTCTTCAAACTATCTCCAGCTTTAATTTCGGCTACCTCTATATCCATGCTAGATGATCAATGTGTCTTCCAGCAATTGATGGAGATATCTCTATGTACAGAGTTTTCAGTTGATATTCTTTCTTATAACAACTTTTGAAACTCATCCAGATTCCACCTTCACCTAATTGTCTACTTGTATACTTCACAGTTTAAACCTGAATCCAATGAAAAGAGAATAAAGCAATATAACACTTGCCACCATAACACATTAATCAAGCAAGGCAGAAATCTATATATATATATGGATAAATAAACCAATCTCTTAATACGCAGCATTGGTTCAACACCTCAACGACACAAAATTACAAGTCGATACAATCAACAGAAACACACAATTTCCAATACAAGTATAAATCCAATCAGGAATTGTATGACTATTCACTACTGCATCATGTATATAACAACTTGATGCAGAATCAAAGAGCAATACCATCGATTTGTATTCACTTTTAGAATAGCGTTAACTAAAAACCCTCCCTCTGTATTTCAATCGATGAAATCCAAAAAAAAAAACAAAAAATGATCATCCAATTCCAGATAAATTTATCTATCAAATCCACAATCCATTGCTAATGAGAAAATCCGATCCAATCCAGCAATAGATCATTAAAAAATAAACTTATAAACAATACTCAACAATACATCAGCCTAACCTTCATCCGAAACAACAAAGTCAACCAATGAAGAGGATTCCATAACAGAGCATAAATAAAGAACGAACCTGATGCAAACCGCAGGCAACGAATCGTCTCTCCACAGACAGGATTCACAATCGACGAAATCCAAATATACCAATCAAAGCTTCCGTTGAACAACCAATAATTAATAAATTTCTCTCCGATTGGTTGGCGTAGACCAAAAGTCACTTCACAAGGTAACGTACAGATAAGACCCCCAACGGCGCACGTCTCAGAAACAACGAGCCTACCGGCGGGTCGGTTAATTTCGTACGAAATTTGGGCCTGGATTTCTATTTTGGACTGAGCCCAGAACTATATTAATATAATTTGATTTGGGCCTAAATTTGGCCCAAATTATGTAGAGTGAGTTAAGGCCCACTTTCTTTGACGTAGTCAAATGACTAATAGCGACGCATTAGCATTAATTACGCTACAATAAAGTGTAGATGGATATATAAAAGAGATTAGTGATATTGTTGGACCACCGTGCATAATTAATTATTGAAACTTTAGAAGTTCACTTTTCAGTGCCGCGCATGTGTGCATTATTATTATTATTATTATTATTATTATTAGATGGCCAAATAATATAAAATAAATAAATAATGTAATGGGTCGGATGACTCCCCTATATTATAACATTTGTGTTTGTTTCAAAGTATTTTTGAGAAATTTACACTATTTATATAAAAAAATATATACAAAAAATTAAATCAAATATTTTTTTTATTTTTTATTTTATATTAAAAATTATTTTTATATTCAAAAATCATATCGATACTTATTTATATTAGATCATGGTATTATTCTAATTCAATTTTTTTACTAATCAAATCTCAAATTAAAATCCAAACCGAGCAAACACAAAATTTAAGGGATAGATAAATAGTGTCAAAAATTTTAAAACCGGCCATTCAACCGAAATAATAATAATAATAATAATAATAATAATAATAATAATAATAATAATAAAACCAATATATTGTTAACACCAATAAACAAATGCTATGTTTAATTGTGAGATTTTAGACCAAATTTTACTATTTTAATTTTATTTTATTTTTTTAAAAATATCAAATAAAGACTCTTTTTTTTTTATTTTATTACACTAAAATCTAATTTTACATTCAATTATCATATCAATACATGTTTATATCACATCAAATAACTATTTCAATTTAAAATTTTACTATTCAAAACTAAAACAAAAAGAACATAATATTACAAGTAAATATACCCAAACATATTTTTTTGTTTAGTAGATGCAAAAGTTATAATATTAATCTTAAGGGTATTTTAAATTTTTTACTGTTAAAACACTAAGGGTGTGTTTACTTGTAAAGTTTTAGTTTTGGATTTTGATTTTAAATAGTAAAATTTTGAATTGAAATAATTGTTTGATGTGATATAAATATGTGTTGATGTGATGTTTTGAATGTAAAATTAAATTTTAATGTAATAAAATAAATAAAAATTGAATATTTGATTTGATGTTTTTTAAAAGAAAAAAAAAATTGGAATAGTAAAATAGGTGTAAACCTGACAAGTAAACACACCCATTGTTTTTAATAAATAATAATAATTAGAAAACAAGTATTCTTATATAATACAAAGTCACAAATATACAATTTTACATTTATTGGCAACAAAAAATAATAGTTCTTCCGTTCCATAATAAATTATTCATTTTTTTATTTTAGTGTCTCATAAAAAAGTATCAATTTATTTTTTTTTAGTAATTCTACTATCTACCTAACATTACAAATACTCTTACAACTTACAATATATTACACAAATATCATTACCTTTATATCACACGTACTAATAAGATTATTTTAGTCATTTATATTTTATTCCTATTATATCTCAATATATTAATAATATTTTTAAAATTAAGTATAAAAAAAAAACACACACACAAATGAATATTTATTTATATTATGAAAGGAGTAATAATAATAATAATAATAATAATAAGTAGTGGTTCACTTTTATGCAATAGTGTATAAAATTTTAAATTATTTAATATGGTGACCACTTACTAGACATGAGGATGTTAATTGATTTTGACTTTTTCCACGAGAATTTATTGCATTGGCGTTTGATTGGAGGTTGGTCGGTTAGAGGCGAATATCATAGTATTGATTGTCTATGTAAAATATTTGGACATTCCTTTGAAATTTTAAGTCGGAAGCCGACTTTTTAATATTTATTGAGCCTACCAAATCTGTTGGAGGCTGAAATAATTTTGAGTCTATTTATATACACACTATTTATTTATTTTTGTTATCAATAATATTTTGAAAAATACATATTAAGTATATTTATTTAAAAATTAATTTATTATAAAAATAATTTGTGCTAGCACTTGTTACAAGCTAATTAAATAAATATATATCTCTTTCAATCCAATTTAAAATATTCTTTTATCATTTTTATATTTTTTTTAATTACATACTAATGTTAAAATACTGTTATTATTATTTAAATTACAAATATATCATTATATATAATTATTTTTTATATATATGATAAAAATATAAAACACTCTTATACACTCCTGTTAACTAATAAATATTATTTTTTTTAATATATTACAAAGAAAATCCCCAAAAGCCCCTTTAATTTGGGACAAATAATTACTTTTTATGAAATATTATACTATTAAATATTTATCTTTTATCGTTTTAAATATTTTTTAAATTTTTAAATTATCTCTATTAATAGAGCCGTAATGTAAAAATATTGAATTTATTTTCATTTAATGTATTTGTAAATATTTTTATTTTTACAAATATTAACATGAAATATACATTGATATAATTAATATAATTTTTTTTAAAATTTGTTTTCAGCTATATAGTAAAAACTAGAAAGAAAAAAAAATTAGAAAAAAAAAATTCAAAAAAATTAAAAAAGAAAGAAATAGACAAATAAAAAACAATACAGAATGCAAAACTTTATTAATAATTTTAAGCTTTATTTTAACCTAAAGATATAAATATAAAAATTAAAATTTTAAGAATGAGATTTAAAAGTAACAGAGGTATCCCCATTACAAAAAAATTCTTTATTTATAGAATTTTAGACCATTTTTTCAAATCCCATCATTTTAAATTCCACCTTCCTTTTTTTATGAATTTCATGGGATTTTATGGAATCCCATTAGATCCTTGAACCAGCCCATAAGTATATTGTTTAGTTTAAATATAATATATATTAATATTATTATTATTATTATTATTATTATTATGTTTTAAATGTATTTTAGCTAAATAATAATAATTATATTTTTGTAAAACAGCCACATGGGATGGGATCAATGCGACACTCGAATAAAGAATGTTATTTCTTTATTTGTAATATTTCCTCGATCCCAAACATTCTACAATATTTATTTATTTTTGTTTGCCCTAAACTCACTTCAATATTTTTAAATTTAGAAATAATTAATAATATTTATATATATATATATTAATATACACTTCATTTTATCTCATTACATTACTCAAATAAAAACACAAATAATAATTTTTTTTTCAATCACATAACTTAATATCCAAATTATCTCAAATTACCATATTTAATACTTTCCACCTAAATTTTCATGCCAAAGACAAATGTTGCACGGTGTATATAAAAAAGGAAGTATTATATTAAATTAGTATTTCTGATGAAAAATTAAAAGTTCATAAAAATACATACATTATTTATTTGTTTATTTATTTATTATGGAGTCAAACAACATCATTATTAAAAATACATTGAGTTTGTTTAGTTTTTGTTTGAAATTAATATATTTTAAATTGAAATTTAATTTAAATACATTTTAATATTCTATCCGTCTCATTGGAATGGTGATTTTTGCTTTTTTTTTACGTATATTTTTTAATATTAGTATTATATTGGATTGTAGTGAAAAAGAAAATAAATATGTTATTAGTATGGTGTAATATAAAAGTAATGACATTTGTCTAATATATTGTAAGTTGAAAGGGTATTTACTATAATACTCCCTCTGTCTCTTAACAATCTATCTAATTTTTTTTATTTTGGTCCGTCTCATGACAAAGTATTTATTTATTTCTTTTTAATAATTGTATAATCCACCTAACATTACAAATATCATTCCAATTTACAATATATTACATAAATGTCATTACCTATATATCATACAATACTGATAGAATTAATTTAGTCTTTTTACATTTATTTCTACTTTATTCCAATATAATACTAATATTTTTAAAACTATATGAAAAAACAAATGAATTATATGAATAATAATTGGGGCGAATTTTGCCCAGCCCCCTCCCAACTCTTGTTTTAATGGAGCGAGTAATCAGGATATGTTAGGGGTTTTAAGATATAAATTGAGGGAGATTATGAGTTTGATAAATAATTTATTCTGAACCCAACTTCATCCTCAAACTTGCTTTAAATAATATTTATAAAAATTAAATATTATTGTTTTATATTTATTTACATTGTCTAAAGTTTTAATTTTATATTTTTACAGTTTTCATTATCTTTTATTTTATTTTTTTGCTTTTTTACAGTTTTCAATCACACTTATTTTTCTTTTTTTTCAAATCACCATTCTTCCACTGTTCAATCCTTGTTATAAAGATGTCATGGTTGAAAGTATATTACGTTGTTTTCTTTGTAGTTTTAATATAGATTTTTACTCTAAATTAAATAATTATATTATACTATAAATTTATTTTCATTCAAAACATCACGTCAATATCTATTTATATCACATCAAACAATTATTCAAATTTAACTTTTTATTATTTATAAATTCAAACCCAAAACTCCAAACTCGCAGACAAACACACCCTACAGTTTCAGTAATTGAGATTTTATTCAACAGCCGAATTTTTATTATATTTTATTATATAAGTTATAAAATAAGATAAGAAAAAAAATAAAAATCTATATTTACATATATTTTATAAAAATGAAATGGATTTTCTGAATTAAACGATTTTGGGACAAAACTAATTCTGGGATCTATATTTTTCTGTCTGCAAAATTCATACCAAATTCACTCTTTTGCCATTCCTATATATCTTATAACAAAGTAGTAATACGTTTTTATTGAATATATTAATTTTAATTTAAAATAAAAATGAAACATACTCCCTCAGTCCCACCACAATTGACACTATTTCTATTTTTGTTTGTCCCGTACCAATTGACACCTTTCTATTTTTGATAAAAATTATTAAACCAAAACATATTTAACAAATATAAATCAACTTAATTAACTGCGTAACATACAACATCATAAATGACGTAGGACCCATTAAAAACCCATTTATTTCTACATATCTCCAAAAAAAAATAATATATTTTTATCTATATTTAAAACTACACATCTTTTATGAAATTGATTTATGTTAATTATAAATAAACTAAACAAAACAAAAATATTTTTTTATTTACTTGTATTATTGAAGATTTTATTCTCTACAAAATGATATCCATATTGCATATATTTTTAATTGCTATATAATTTTGAAATATTTAAATATATATTTTAATTTTTTTTAATTATATATATAATTTACTTTAAAATTATAAATATTATTAATTATATAAAAAATAATATATAATAATATCATAACTAATTATTATTAATTAAGTAAACATCCTCACCTTAAATATAAAGGATTCAATTCTTGTTGGGACTAAGTATATTGTTGGTAATAGTAAATTGTGGGAAATGGCAATGACACATGACTTAATAAAGAGGGCTCTTTAATGCATATATATATATATATATATATATCAATTTCCATTCATTGTCTTACCCTTCACACCCTTCCTCATTTTATAGTATCTACACTTCGATCTTATAAATATATTTATATACTCCCTCTCCTTCATTCTATAATAAAGAATTAATTTTTTTATTTTAATTTGTTTGATAATAAAGTATTAATTTTTTCATTTTAGTACTTCCTATAACAAAGTATTAATTTTTTTATTTTATATATTACACAAATATCCTTACAACTTACAATATATTACACAAATGTCATTACTTTTATATCACATAAGGTTAATTTAGTCATTTCTATTTTATTTCTACTATATCATAATATAATAATAATATTTCTAAAATTACGTGCAAAAAAAAATAAATTTAACATAATATTCCCAAATTTTATTATGTTGGACTTTGTATTTTTTGAAAAAATTATATTTTTTTTCGCTCACAAAACATCTCATCAAATATTATTTTAATATCAAACTCAAACCAATTTTTTTTCCAAACTCATCAAAAGAAAAACACCCTAAGTTTTGTTATTGTTTATTATAATATATTGTGTTATAATAAAAATATATCATGTTATATATTAATTTTATCTTATAAAATATTAGATCAAATATTTAATTTTTTGTTATTTAAAAAAATTCAAAATTAAACTTTTAAAAATTTTACTTAAACAAAACCTAATATATATATATATATATATATATTTTAAATTGAAGGCTTCAATTGAGTTTGTATATTTGATGTATTTTAATATTTTTTTATACTTTATTTTCACTCGTAAAAGAAATAGTATCTTGTTATTTAGAGGCTCTCTCTCACACACTTACACACAAAATGTGTACTCAGGCCAACAAATACAATATTAATAAAATACTTCTATCAATTCTAAGTGAATGTATTTTCTTAAAAATCGTTTTCGTTTGTTTGTTTTTTTTTTTTAAATATTTATTTCATATTATAATAAAAATAATTTATATATAAATATTAAAATATTTTATAAAAATATCAAAATTATCTTACATATATTTCTGTTAATCAATTAAAATGTTTTATTATGTTGTATATAGAAGTATTAATATGAATTTCTTGTTTTATAGAGTATATAATTTGGATGAGCCTTACAATAGAGAGTATTAATCTTTATATATTTACGTAATATTCTTTAACCAACATAGAAACAATAGCTTTGTTCTTCAAACATTTATTATTATTTTTTTTTTCAATTCGATTTTCAATATATATTAAAATTTTATTTTTTTATATCTCAAATAAAATTATAATTCAAATCAAAACACTAAACAAATAAACCCAATAAATATACGTACTATTAATGGATGAATAAGTATTACTGTATTTAACAATAAATTCTTAACATTACTGATATGTTTGTTTTAAAATGTGTAGCTTGAGAAGTTTTTTTAGATAAAAATTATTAATAGCATAAAAAGTAATATTTTATATTTTATTTGTTTATTAATAACCTAATATCTTTTTTTTTTCTAGAGGATTTTTAATAACTATAATCTTATTTTTATTTTTAAATACAAATTTTTCTTTTTCATTTTCATTTATTTATTATTTTTAATTTTTATTTACCACACAAGATAAATTTGTTAATTTATATATATAAAAAAAATTATCTAAAAGAATGGTACAAATGTATTTTAAAACAATAAAAACTGAACGGAAGGAATATTAAATTATTATTATTTTTTAAATAAATAAAATGTATATTATATATTGTATAAATATGGGTATTTATTGTATATTTTTAATACTCCTATTCTTTAGAAAAAAACATAAGAAAATTTGTATTGAAAGAACAAATTTTTATTCTCATAACGAGTATTACTATATCTTATTTAGTAAAAATTATTTAATTATTGAAATTATATTTTTATAATTTTATGTTTGTAATAAAGGAATTATTACCTAATCAAATATTCAAAAGGCTTCTTGACGGTATGGGAAATACCTCTTTTTAGCAACAGGTTGAATCACGCTTTTTGACGTATAAATATTACTAACCACAAACAAAGGTAAAAACGTGTTTAACCCACCGACTCTGCAAACACGGTTTTTCTTATAAGTTTGCCAACATTTCTTTTAGTTCTGCCTTCGTCATTCTCATTTCTTTCATTTTAAAATTACAATCAGTAAAGTGCGCAGTATCGTGTTCTTGCTGGTTGGTTTCTTCACTGCTGCTAGCCTGATCGATTGCGTGTATCGGTTTCGTACACGGTTCTGCTATTTCGTCTCCGTCTGCATGCGATGATTCGATAGGAATAGGAAATCGGTGCTGTCTATCTGACGATGGGGTCGTGTTTGTCTCGGGAAGGAAAATCAGCTCCGAAAAGGAGACCGTCGACGCGAATCACGAACAACTCGGCGCCGGAAGGAGGTTTTGGGAGCAATCGATGGATGAGGATGCGCTCGTCGAGGAAAGAGGATAATCAGATTAACGAGCGAGCTCTGGCGGCGATTCTGCAGCAGCAGCTGCAAAACGGCGGCGGAACGGCGCCGTTTGATAGGTCGGCGTCGTTGAAGTATCCTGCTAGAAGCTCGAAGAAGAATCAAGCGTTGCCTCGAAGCTCGAGCACCAGAGCGCGGTCGCTCACTGATCCTTTGCTTCAACCTCACCAGCTTGTTAATCAGGTATGGAGTTGAGATAATTAACCGTCGTTTTTTCGTTTCTGAGTAATTTCATTGATTTAGCGTTTCTTTTGCTGAATATGTGAATCATACATTTATTTTATTTTATTTTTAGTTTTTTTGATTGATTATTGTTTGCAGGACTTTTCTTCTTGTTATTAAGTTTAATCTTAAATTTTAATATTAATTAGTATGAAGTTATTGCTACGAAAGCTATTTTCCCTTGCAATCAAGTATCTACCTGTAAAGTTGAAGCTTTACAGCTTTTAATGGAGTCTGTGTTGCTCGTGGAATTTGGATATGAAATCATTAGTTTTGTGGTCGAAGTATCACACCATCTGCAATAGCCTCTTCCCCAAGGGAAGTGCCCATCTTTTTACAGGTAAATGTAGATCTCTCTTATAAATGTGTTATTGCAGAACAATACCCAAAACGGTTCTTGCAATGCAATTCTCTCTCCTCTTTTAGAGAGAGAATAAATTATCATGTAATTTTATATATTTTTATTAATTTTGATACTTTAATATAATGAAAAATAAATACATTATATTGAATTATTAATTTTCTCTATAGTATTTGGCAAATTAATATTATAAAATAGGATTGGTACTAAGATCAATAATAAATTAGTTGTATTTTGTTCTTTAACTGGAATGTATATGAAACCTTCACCCGTGTGGGTGTTCATGTCAGATTCTTCAGAATTTATATAATTAGTTTTGAGACTTAAAACTTAAATGATATTAAATGATCGTCTCACCTCAAACATTCCTTTTATTTTAATTTGTTTATCATGACAGGATATCAAGCTTGATGATCTTGAGAGCAAGCACTTTGTACTTGTTCATGGTGGAGGTTTTGGTGCATGGTGCTGGTATAAAACTATTGCTCTGTTAGAAGAAGTTGGATATAAAGTCACAGCAGTAGATTTGGCCGGGGCCGGAATTCATTCAATTGATGCAAACAATGTCACAAGCCTTGCACAATATGTGAAGCCTTTGGTTGATATTTTGGAAAAGATCGATGATGGGGAAAAGGTTCTTTCTACTGATTTTTTTCCTGTGAATAATTTCCATGATTAATCTGATGCTATGCTATTGAATGGATTTATGTTAGTTTCTTTGCTGAGAGAAGTAGCAACTAAATAGATAAATCCACTTTCTGTGCTTTACATATGGCATAAGATATGGTTCCGGGAATTTCAAATCCAGGAATTCTTTGCAAGCTATTTTCAAAATATCTACAGAAATTGTTTAATATTTTCATCCTTTTGTAGTTCTTTAGACAGGGTGTATCAAATTATTCTCGATGAATAATGTACTATAGTGGGTATTGGATGCAATATACCCAATTAGTTTTGCTTTAGAATGTCCCTCAGTTATGACTTTTCTATTGTGGATTCACTATGCAGCTATTTCTTAAGATTTCTTTATTTTATCCAGAGCACTTATGCTTACACTTGTGTATGCCGTTTCTTCCAATGATACGAAGAAAGAATTTGGTTTCTGACTTGCATTCTTCGAACATGCAGGTAATATTAGTCGGCCATGATTTTGGTGGCGCGTGTATATCATATGCTATGGAGCTGTTTCCCTCTAAAGTTTCCAAGGCTGTTTTTGTTGCTGCAGCTATGTTGACAAGTGGGCAGAATGCTCTTGATTTGTTCTCTGAGAAGGTCAGTTATTGTTTTGGTTATAAAAAAGACTTTTCTTGGAAACAAATTTTATTTCATTTTGCAAAGTTTGTATTTCTGTTTGCTCTGTGGAATAATCCATAACATATCCTTGTGCTTGACTGGGGAACAATTATATGTAAATTGACCAATTATTGTATTCACCAAATGCACTTTCAAGTGATTAACATAACATTCTTGTGGAGATATTTGGCATTTAACACTGAAGTAACTACAGAATTTTGATGTATGTATGTGTATGTATATATCCCACTTGACTTGAAGACTGGTAGCAGAATATCGAAACAATTATGTAGCCATATTTATCTTAACATAGCTTGATATTACCATGCCATTTCTTAATATTTTTGCATAAAACTAGTGATACTTTGGCGACCGTGTAGAATTACTTTTACTAAAATAGAAAAATGATACTTTAGAGTAGGGCGTCCATGGACGTGGTAAAAATGATACTTTGAGCTGGGACTGAGAGAGTATTAAAATCTAGATCTGGCATTGGGTCGGGTTGAATACTTGGTTAAATCACTCAATCTTAACCTGACCTGTTTATCATCGTGTCGGGTTTGTGTTAGATTCGTGTTGACCCGTATACATAATTAGGTCAAAATCTTTGATTCAAATCACTCTCTTTTTTTTTTTGAATTGTTGTGTTATGTTTGTTTTTTGTCGGTTCTTGTGTATAGTGAATTCACTTAGATTATTTAAAATTGAACTTAGTTTAAATTAATTCAAGAATTAATTATCAAATTAGAATTACTTTACATATATAATGAATATATTATTTCATACTAATATATTATAATAGGGTTATCGAGTGGGGTTCGAGTTGAAAGTCTCAACCCTAACTGGATCTGTTTATAATCGTGTCAACCAGTATATATAATTGGGTCAAAATCCTTGATCCAAATTCAATTATTTCATGTCTGGCTCGTGTCGGCGTCAGTTTTTGCTGGCTCTATTAAAACTGAAATTCGATTGTTGTTTCAGGCCGATTCAAATGACTTGATGCAACGGGCTCAGGTTTTCCTATACGCAAATGGGAGCAATCAGCCTCCAACAGCCATTGATTTCGACAAATCTCTTTCAACAGACTTGCTATTCAACCAGAGTCCTGCAAAGGTAGTCTGCTCTTAACCTCTTGACCACAAATAGCCTCATTTCTAGCTCCAACACCACGAACTTCTCCGGCTGTAATGAAATCGAGATAGAAGCTTAGGACAATGGTCCAACATAAACCAGTCAATTGTTACAGAATGCAGCTTACCTCAATTGCTACTACTTCTATGCTGTCACTACATTTGCCTTTAACTTCATGCACATATTTTCTCTCTAAATCTAATACCTCGAAAATTACTTTCCAGGACGTCGCCCTGGCATCTGTCTCGATGAGGCCAATCCCCTTCTCGCCAATACTGGAAAAGCTCTCTCTCACCGACACAAACCATGGTTCTGTAAGAAGGTACTATGTAGAAACTCTCGAAGACAATGCTATACCCGTTGCTGTACAGGAATCCATGATAAACAACACTCCCCCGGAACGCACGTTCCGTCTGAAAGGGGCCGATCACTCTCCATTTTTCTCGAAACCTCAAGCCCTGCACAAGGTTCTCGTCGAGATTTCAAGAATCCCATGAACATGTCTAAGGTGGATATGCATTGATCATACTCTTTTTTATTATTATTATCACTTGTATCTCTATTGACAGAAAATTTCTCTAAACATTTCAGTATGCATTTCAAGATCACAGAGTCCATAGCTACTTCTTCATGCAGGTATGGAATTCTGTTTAGATTATGCTATTTTAGAGAAGATTTTTGAATGCTTAATTTTATGGAAAAACTCATTGATTTGTCTTTGTTGTATCTTTGTTGAATTATGGATAATTTGATTCTGTATATAGAGCAGAATTACAGAGTTTATAGTTTTACAGATTCTTGAAATGCATTTCTAAGATTCTCGAAGCAATTTATTTAGTTATTATTATTATTATTAATAGTTTCATAACGCGGTAATGGCAAAAATCAAGTTATACTAGGCCAATCATGTGTGACGAGAAGACTTGGAGGGTTGGAGATTGAACAATTGTACAATATAAAAATTAATTTTTTAATATAATATAAATAATAAAATATAGACTTTTTGATTTGATATATTTACAAAGTTACCCAACCAAACACACCCTAAGGCCTAATGAATAATGGTGACCTCAAAAAAACATTAGCTTGGGCAAATAGAAGAATCTGGAAGATAAGTTGAATTTGATTTTAAAAAATAGGTTAAATTACACATAGTTCGTTTTATGAAATTGTTCCAAAATTTTTATGGTCTCTGGTAGTCTAATCCTTCATCCGTGTTTATTTACCCGCGTTTGATCTGCATGCGCAAATACCTACACAATTTAAATTTATTTCCACGTGCAGATCAAACAATTCTAAGATAGCTTTAAAAATAGTTCACGTATTTTTTTTTTCAAATATATGGATTTTGTGCAATTTAATTTAAAATAAATAAATAAAAGCATTATGTGGACCCCAAACCCAACTATAAAGGACGAAAATGCCGGCGTCACAGTTCTCTGTCTGCTTGCCTGGTCGCCGGGTTGCAACTTTCATGGCGGATGAGGAGACTTTGCAGATTGAACCTTAAATTTCATCTCAGAATTCATTCCTTCACCTGCTGCTGCTTCGTCGAACCTTTTGTCATCTGATCGTGCAGAATAAGGCTAGCAGCCATCGAAGGACTCTGCTCTCAAATTCATTGTATCCGATTGAATGCGAATTTCACAATGACTACTCTTCGTCATCCACCTTCAATCGCTCTACGGTTGTTTCTCTGGTTCTGCGCGATCGCCGCTAGCAGTATCAACACAGCTCCGTTCGCCGCGGATATTTCAATTAACTGCGGCTCCACCGGCAAATCCACGGCAGTCAACGGCAAGGAATGGCTGGGAGACTTACAACCGAAATCTCCATCTGTTTTTCAAATCGGAGGTTCGTCAAGCATCGTCCACACGAAGAAATCGATTTCTGGTACGAACTTTGTAATTCCTTACAAAACCGCGAGAATCTCTCGTTCTCAATTCTCCTACACCTTCCGAGCGAGTCCAGGTCAGAAAATTATCCGCCTCCATTTCAATCCGGTGCCGTACAAGAGTTTCGAGGACTTGTTCAGCGTCGAAGTCGGTAATTTCACGCTTCTGAGCAACTTCAGCGCTTCCCTCACTGCTCAAGCTCTAGGTACGAATTCATTTGTTAAGGAATTCTGTCTGCACTTTCCGCAAGACGAACCGTGGAAGATTATCTTCTCTCCTGCAATCAGTAGCAGTAGCAGTACGCCATTGTTGAGCAAGTGTGCGTTCATAAATGGAATTGAGATTATCACAGTACCGGCAGGACTTTCTTATTTTCACGGCGATGATACCGGAGTCCGAGTTGTCCGTCGGGAATCTCAGGTGAATGTTGATTACAATACTGCACTTGAAGTAGTCCATCGATTGTATGCTAGGGAGCAGCAGCAGCAGCAGATGGATCCACAAACTACAAATTCTGATCATGTGTTTCCAAACAAGGTATGTTACATTTTGCATCATTTCCAATTCTTATTATTAATAATGAAATCAGAATCTGTGAATAAACATAAAGATAAAAATCAACTTAAGTTTACCAAGAAAAATTGGAGATGACATAGGAAAAAGGTCAAAAAAGAAAAATTGGAGATGACATAGGAAAAAGGTCAAAAAAAAATACCGCAAGTGTTTGGTATACAAAATTAAGAACAGAAAATTAACAGAATTTTCTTGTTTACTTGTCTCTCTATTATTTTTACATCATCCACTGGAGAATTTAGTGATAAATTTTTTTATTTATGAGAGAAGCCGGTCTCTCCCTTTCTTGGCGGAATTGTGCCTATCGGTAATTTTAAATTGGTAATTTATGTATTTTTGGGTTTGTTTTGAGATTTGGATTTTAACTTATAATATGATATAAATGAGTTCGTTGATATAATATTTTTAATATAAAATTAATTTTTAATATAATAAAAAAAATAAAAAAATAAATATTTAATTTGATATTTTTTATTAAAATTTTTTTTTAATTAATAATGAGAATCTGGGAAAGTCTTCCAAACAAACACACGCATGTGTGTATACATTTATATATATATACTTTTGGTAGATTTAAATGACAATTAATTATCTATTTTAGTTTTGCTGCTCTCTACTAAGACACCTCTAATATAATCTAATCTAATCTAACCTAATATCTCAACTAAGGTAGAAGAACACAATGCGTGGAGACTACCTGTGGACGTGGGATTTCAGTATATGGTCAGGCTTCATTTCTCGAAGCTGGGGCTCAACATTGTGGGCTCTGATCATTTGGTGTTTGAACTTCTCATTAATGGAAAGATTGCCCATTCTAATGTGGATATTGGCAAGGGAAAGAAAGGGAATGACAGTACCTGGTTTGTGGACTTCCTGGTGGCCATGAGAGGCCAAAAACAGCAGATTAAACGTGATCTTCTGATCTCCCTGCATTTGTATGACGACATTGTTGATGGAAGTGCACTTCTTGCTGGGTTTGAAGTACTGAAGTTGAGCAACCATGATAACAGTCTTGCCGGTCCGAATCCCTTGCTGCCGACTACTCATCAGCATACGCCGATGCAGCTGCATTTCAAGGCTTTGATCTCGGCTCTTGGTCGTCGATTCGTGCCTCTAAATCTTTCGATGATCATGCTTACTTTGGTAAATGTCATTATACATAAGTTGCAGGGGGTTTGGGAAGTTACCATTCCTAAGGAGGAAGACAAGCCATCAGCCAGGGCTCGAAAGGTCTGCCGTGTTTTTTCATTTGGCGAGATCCGAGTAGCCACTAGAAATTTCAGCGCCGCGCTCTTGATAGGAAGGGGTGGATTTGGTAAGGTCTACAAAGGCATGATTGACGACGGGCAAACTCCAGTTGCTGTAAAAAGGTTAAAACCAAACTCCACGCAAGGTGCGCGCGAGTTTTTGACTGAGATCGAGACACTTTCTGAGCTTCGGCATTGCAATCTGGTTTCCTTAATCGGGTACTGCAACGGAGGTAGAGAAATGATTCTGGTTTACGACTACATGGCCAGTGGGACGCTAGCAGATCATCTGTATAAACTTCAAGAGGAAAGCAACTACGTACCTCTATCGTGGAAGCAACGCCTTAATATCTGCATAGGGGCTGCTCGTGGGCTCGACTATCTTCACACAGGTCATGGAATTATACACCGTGATGTAAAGGCTTCGAACATCCTTCTTGACAAGAATTTCGTGGCAAAAGTTTCGGATTTCGGCCTGGCCAGGCATGAAGAAAGGAACAAGTTAGAAAGCCATGTAAGCACAAGAGTTAAGGGTACAAAAGGGTACTTTGATCCACATTATGTCAACACTAACAAGCTCACAAGGAAAAGTGATACCTATGCCTTTGGGGTGGTGCTGTTTGAAGTACTGTGTGGGAGACCTGCGGTGGATTTAAATCTTCTAGAAGAAGAGCAGATTTTGACAAAGTGGGCTCGAGACAACGTTAAGAAGGGGAGCATTGATCAGATTGTGTCCCCAAGTCTATGGGATGAGGTCTCTGGAGACTGTCTTAAAGCATTCTTGGCGATCGCTGGCAGATGTTTGCACGACGAACCGAAGAAACGGCCAACAATGGCACAGGTGGTACTGCAACTTCAGTCCGTGCTTGAGAAACTTGAGAAACAGGATAGCTCGAATGCCCGTACTTTTGATAATAGCGTCGATGATCTCCCAATTGACAAGGGGAAATTAGCGTTATTTACGGATATGCTACCTCCTGAAATAAAACAGAAAAATGTCAATGTGATTGGTCCTGAAACTGCATCTAGGAGAGGAGATGGTAAGAAAGATCGGGAGCAGAAGCCACTACGGTTCTGGCCCCGGGAGAAGTGGAGACGACGCCCCAATCTGAGGAAGGAAGTTGTCATCTTTAAGGACATTGGGATTCGATTGACATATGAGAATGTGGTAAGAGGTACCGGGAATTTCAGTGCAACCAGCTGCATTGGTGAGGGTCGCACCGGGACAACATACAAAGCTGAGATTACTCCCGGTGTCCATGTTGTCGTAAAACGGTTAACAGCTGGACTTTTCCAAGGTGTCGAAAAATTCGACACAGAAATCAAAACCCTCGGGCGTCTTCGTCATCCCAACCTCGTGACATTGCTTGGATATCATATCTCTGGACCTGAAAGATTTCTTATATATAATTATCTACCAGGGGGCAACCTTAAAGAGTTTATAAAGGAAAGATTCAGTAAACCTGTCGATTGGAGGATAATCTTCAAGATTGCCCTGAATATTGCACAAGCAATTTACTACCTGCACTGTACGTGTGTGCCGCAAATTATTCATTGCAATGTCAAGACGAGCAGAATATTACTGGACAGGGATTACAATGCATACCTCTCTGGTTTCGGACTAGCCAGGGTTCTCGAGGCTTCACAGACTTACGATGCGTATGTTGCTCCAGAATATGCAATGATAGGCAGTGTTTCTGAGAAAACTGATGTTTATAGCTACGGGATTGTGTTGCTCGAGTTGATCTACGACAAGAAAACTCTGGGGGCATCATTTTCGTTGGAAAGTAGGTTCAGAATTGTAGCTTGGGCATGCACACTCTTGCGGGAAGGTTGTGCCGAGGAGTTCTTTGTTCCTTGGTTGTGGGATGTAGGCCCTCGAGATGATTTGGTCGACTTATTACACTTGGCTATTGAATGCACGGCAGATTCTCTTTCTATAAGGCCGTCAATGGAGGAGGTAGTCGAACGACTAAAACTTCCATTGTTGGCGATACCGAAAGGCAGAGAGTGATTGTAGGAGTTCTTTCCAGCATCTTGAAACTGGTACATACATGTACTGTGTTTGCTCAGACCGTTCTCCCGCGCAGGTAATGAAAGGTTAGTTATCCATCTATGCATTTCTTGTTGAAAATGTTTTTAACAATCAGTTGCATGCATCCTTTGGTTCAGTTGTGAAATTATTACTTTTGTGCTCAACAGCTAAAAGGTAAAAATTGTCCAATATTTTACTTATTGCACTACCATATTAATTATGCATGATCAGACAGCATCATACTGGATAATAACAAGTCACAGATTTTCTAAATATATTTTAACAATCGTGAGTGTTTGGTAAAATATCCTGAATAATCTTTTCTTTTAATAAAATAAATAAATAAACAATCAATTCTTTATTTCATAGTTTTTTTAAGACCTAATTTTTACAAGAAAAAAAAAACTATTTATTTATTTTATTCCAGAAGACTATTGACATTTCATCCTTTTATTGGTATAATATTTGTATAATTAGATACAACCAACATTATATATTTTAATCTAACACAAATATTTGATATTTTAGCAATAAATAAAATACGGGACAAAACAATTTACTCTTGGCTTTATATTTTTCCACCAACCCAACCAACCACATAAGCTTGAACAGTTCAGTAATTCTGACGCGTAGAATAATGTATATAGTCAAAGTCAACCAACTTCCCCCTACTAACTTTAAAATTTCCATCCCATTCCCATAATCTAAATGCAATATTTCACCACAATAGAAATCTAAGGGATGCAGGGATGTATGTGTTACCTGTTCCAATTGCTCTGTTACTCCTAATCTTCTCTTTCACTATATTTACAGCTACCAGTTCCAATCCAGCCGACGTCATAAACGGAACTTCCATCAACTGTGGTTCAGTTACCACTTCTGCATCAGCCAATGGTAAGAAATGGATTGGAGATGTAAAACCAAAACCATCCACTTTACTACAAATTAGGGGCTCATCGACTACCTCAACAGCCATTGATGAGAAGCCCATCTACGCTGATACAGTTCCCCACAAGACAGCAAGAATCTCCCACCACCAATTCTCCTATATATTTCGATTCGATCCAGGTCAGAAAATTGTCAGGCTTCATTTCAATTCAGCTATATATAAGGGTTTTAAAGGGTTGAAGGATTTGTTCACCGTGGAAGCTGGATCTTTCATCCTGCTCAGTAACTTCAGTGCTGCACTTACTGCTCATGCACTAGGGATAAAAACTTTCATCAAAGAGTTCTGCATAAGCATAGAAGAGCATCAAGAACTGAACTTAAGTTTCTCACCTGTAAAAAGTCGATCACAAGACAGGACTTATGCTTTCATAAATGGGATTGAGATCATTTCAGTTCCCGTGCATCTTTCCTATTTTAGAGGGAGAGATGTTAGAGCTCAGGTTGTTGGCCAGAGAGTTCCAGTATGCATTGATAACACAACTGCACTTGAATTAATCCACAGATTGAATCTGAAACGAAATTCAGGTCCATCAGGGGATGCCTTTGATGATATGCTGGAGATGTGGACTACAGCTCAGAAGGATACAGTTCAGAAACAAATGGGCAGTCTTACCTGGAATCAATCAGTCGATGTCGGGTTCAGGTACTTGGTCAGGATTTATTTCAGCAAGCTAGAACTCAAGAACGCAGAGAATGGTGAACTGACTTTCAGAGTTCTTATTGATGAAATGGTTGTTGATACTAACATGGAGATAGTAAAAAACCAGGTTGATCATGGATCCCCCAGTTATAGGGATTATGTGGTGGCGATCAAAGGGTTAAAACAAGAAGGTAAAAGAGGACTATCGATCAACCTGCAGTCCAATGATGAACTTATCAATGGGCATAGACTACTTGAAGGATTTGAAATTTACAAGATTAGTAACCCAGACAACAGCCTTGGCAGTCCACATGCCCTTCCACCGGCAAGGGTTTCATCATCCTGGATTATCAAAAAAGTTGAGTCAGTTCTGGGTCGTAGAAATACAACTGCAACTATCATAATAGCCATACTTGCTCTGATTGATATCATTGTTTATAACACACAGAAAGTCAGGGAAGCAAGCATTCCAGAGGATGAAAACAAACCTTTCCTCAGAGCTGAACAGCTGTGTAGACAATTTTCACTATCAGAAATACGATCTGCAACCAAAAATTTCAGCAAAGCATATCTCATCGGAAGGGGTGGATTTGGAAAGGTATACAAAGGATTTATTGATAATGGGAAAGAAACTGTTGCAATAAAGAGGTTAAAATCAAACTCAAAGCAAGGGAAAAACGAGTTTTTGACAGAGATAGAACTACTATGCGAGCTCCATCATATTAATATTGTCTCTCTAATTGGCTATTGCAATGAGCAAGGTGAAATGATTGTTGTTTATGAGTATATGGCCTGTGGAACATTGGCTGATCATCTCTACAAGCTTGACAGGGATGGAAACAAATATTCTTCCCTTACCTGGAAGGAATGCCTAAATATTTGTATTGGAGCTGGCCGAGGTTTGGACTATCTTCACACTGGCAATGGAGTCATACACCGAGATGTTAAGACTTCAAACATCCTGCTGGACGAAAATCTCATAGCCAAGGTCTCAGATTTGGGTTTGGCAAAACCTGAAGAGAGGAGCAAATTAATGAGCCATGTCAGCACAAAAGTTAAGGGTACATTCGGGTACTTTGACCCATACTATTTCTCCACTCATAAACTTACAAGGAAAAGCGACACGTATTCCTTTGGAGTGGTGCTGTTGGAAGTATTGTGTTGGAGACCAGCAATGGATTCATCCCTTGAAGAGGATGCATGTTATCTAACCAAATTGGCTCAAAATAAAATCAATAAGGGTGAGATTGAGCAGATTATAGCTACAAATCTGGTAGAGGAAATCTCACCGCTTAGCCTGAAGGTATTTGTTGGGGTTGCTGAAAGATGTTTGCATAATGATCCAAAAGAGCGGCCTACAATGGCCCAAGTGGTGCTGCAACTTGAGCTTGCACTTGAGCAGCAGGAGAACAGGAAAGTCACGGCACAAAATGAGATAACAAGCAATGATATTGATGCTTGTCCGGCAGATCTCCAAAATATTGCACCAGCCAGCACCGAACACCAAATGCAGCCTGTTATACCTTATACAGATCAAACTAAAAGAGAAATAGATAACACTCTCCATCCACCTAGAAGAAAAACTGCGAAAAAACGAAAAATGCCTAAGCCATTATGGCCTTGGGCAGGTGCATTTTGGAATGGGCTAAAACTATTTAAGAAGAAACGTTCCAACAAATCAGATTCAGGTATACATTCTCTTCTCTGCAGAATAGTTTCACAGAATACAGCTATGCATGTCATTCATACGATTCAATTATTTCGCAGCTATTTTTGGTAAAGAAATCAATCAGCCTAAGCTTAGTTTGGCGAAGATTGAAGTTGCTACCAATCACTTCTCTTCATCAAATAGAATTGGACATGGTGGATACGGTTCTGTTTATAAGGTGAAATTCTCTACACTGAACCTTCCTTTCCTTTTTATTGATTTGTTTAGCTGATGCTTTACCATCACTTGTATAGGGTGTGTTCCCTACAGGACAGAAGGTAGCAGTTAAAGTCTTCTCAGTTCTGAGGCCAAGTCTAAATGAGTTCAAGAGTCGAATTCTTCTGCTTTCCCATCTAAATCATGAAAATATTGTTAAACTACTCGGATATTGCATTCATGACAAAAGAGTGATGCTAGTGTACGAATTTATGGAAAATGGAAGTTTAGATAGATTTATATTTGGTGAGTATGTTCCTAAACCACCCTTCACTCATATTAAATTGACAGATGAATTCAGGACATCCTGTGTGTCCTATTCTTTTGAATGCAATGAACTAACAACTTTTGCTTTCAGATAAACTTCAACGACAACTTCAGTGGTCACACCGCTTCAATATCATTATGGGTGTCGCTAAAGGAATTCTTTATATTCATCAAGGCACAGAGAAGGCGCTCACTCATGGAGATATCAAACCAGGAAATATTCTTCTGGACATAATGATGAATCCTAAAATTTCAGGCTTTGGCACTGCCAAAAATTATGGGGATCATGAATCTAAAGTTGAAACCAGAGTTGTAGGGACATTGTAAGTACCAGCACAAGATATATGCTATCTATGTATTCTGCATTAAGGTGCTAATATACATATCTGCAATTCATGTGACAGAGGTTATATTCCTCCAGAGTATGCTATGTTTGGCATATGTACAGATAAGGTAGATGTGTACAGCTTTGGAATGCTGGTGTTGGAGATTTTGAGCGGCAGGAGAAACATGGAGTATCAACATCAAACATATAACGAAAGCCTCATTGAACAGGTAAGTTCAAGAACTTCTAACAGATAAAAAATTATATTAATTCAAAATCCAACTACAGTGAGTAAACAATGCAAGCATTGATTCCATCATTTGGCTTTATGCCTTAATATCTAATTCATTCTAACGCTGAGTACACATGAATGCAAAGTAGGCGAACTTCATAGACAGAGCATTACTTTCAATAGCAATACACAATAATTATGGCAAGTGGAACAGCAATAGCATGACCATGTAGAGAACCTAGTATGACGATACATGTTTACATATATGTGTTTGTCTCTGTGTGTGACGGGAATATACATATGTTAATCAATACATCCAATTTGAAAATATCTGGAGAAAAAATAAATATATATAAAGAAAGTACATGAATATATCAGTTTTTTTTGTTTCGATTTGAAATTGGGTTTTTGTATTTAGGTTTTGGTTTAAATAGTATTACGAGAGGAAATAGTATTTCTATCATGAACTACTGTGCAGGCTGAACAATATTGATTTGTGTTTGAAATTGAAAACAAACAAAACCTAGGTATATTTAGAATAACATTTTCTAGAGTGTGAGTTGCATGCCCATCTATCGATGCATTATAACAAGGTCAAATATTCAGGCATGGAAGCTATGGAAAGAAGGGAAAGAATTACACCTGGTCGACGAGTCTCTTCGTGGAGAATATTCAGAGGATGAAGCAGGGAGATGTATCCATGTCAGTCTTCTATGCACTCACGCCAACCGACAAAATCGACCAACGATGGCATCTGTACTCAAGATGCTGCTTGGGGAAGAGATGTCCCTTCAAGAAAAGGTAGCTGAAGCAGCTGACAGTGCAGCAAAGTTTGAATTCACAGACCAAATGGAAAGGTAGTTTTCCTGATTAATGTACATACTTCATCACTAATCATAAATTACAACAGTAGTGTTAGCATAAGTCCCCTCCACAAAATGCATATTAGTCCCTATTGCTTTATGTTCCTCCGTTGTCACAGAGCACAAACACTTAGTCGAATACATGGCCCTACTTTTTAAGAAAATGATGCACCAAACATGTATATGCACAACTTTACATTTGCTTTCAGCCTCATATTTAAGTCGGAAGACTGCGCTAAACCTAATGACATTGGCAGGAACACACCCCGAGCATAGGATGACAATCCAAGAAGATTCATCCCGGTTCGAACCAAAACTAGGAGCATATCTATGGTTCATGAAAGGGAAGTCTTAACAAGTCTTTTTCTTTCTTTTCATGTAGACGGCAATATACATTTCAGTCGGATGATTGGTATCATAATTCAATGATTTAAAAGTCTAGTTACCGAAGTCAGAGAAGGTTGCTGAGCAACCAACATGGATTGAAGAAAAAAATGCAAATGCATGGTTATTGCATTAAGTAATAAATGGATAATCTTCCTAGGCCAATTGTTGTCCTGTCCTAACCCCACACAATAGTCTTAACTTTCAATTAATTAGGCAAGGATATGTTACCTCCATCTCCATGGACACTTGGGCCAATAGAATTATTAATAAATAATTTTGGAAAAAAAAATGAACCTGAGTTGATGCTTTATCTGTCCCTTTCAATACAAAAGACTGGTGCCCTCATAAAATGCAATGTAAACTTCCTCCATAATGAATACAATAATGAAAGAACTTTCTACCTGAGTTGACTGAAGAGAGCAAGTCCTTCTTCTTCCTTCATCAACCAATGCCATTGTAAGTGCATCATTCTTGCATCTCTGTAATCGAAATTATCTGTTGGTGCAAGAAATGTGTGACTCTCGTTCGTCGGTTCTTCTTACAGCACTCTGCTTGTCTTGGCACGTGCTGACTGTTCTTGCCATCATCATTCCTGCAGATCACCCCCCATCTGAATACAGTATTGCCATCTCCTGTGGTTCCTCCAGAAAATCAACTGCAGTCGATGGCCGTGTTTGGATGGGAGATTCTCGATTTGAATCCAACTCTTTGGTCCAAATCAAAGGCAAACCTTCAAACTCAAGAGCCATCAATCATCTTGCCTCGATAGATTCCACGCCTTACAGGACTGCTCGAGCATCACGCAGTGAATTCAGCTATGTTTTCCTGATCAGCCCAGGGCAGCATTTCATCCGTCTGCACTTTTATAAGAATTCATACAAGGGGTTCAAAGGGTCTACGGCATTTTTCTCAGTTAAGGCAGAGCCTTACACGCTCCTCAGCAACTTCAGCACTTCTTTCGTTTCGAATGAGTCCGGTGCAAGTGAGATCATTATCAAGGAGTATTGTGTGAATGTAGATGAACATCAGGAGTTGAAGATAACGTTTACCCCGGCTGCGAAGATGAGGAAGGCAGATGATTTCTATGCCTTTGTCAACGGCATTGAGGTTGTTTCCATGCCTACTGGTCTTTACTTCACCCCTGAAGGGGAGTTTGGCACCCGTGTCATTGGCAAGAAGTATAGATTTTACATAGACAACAATACAGCACTTGAGTTGGTTCAGCGGCTGAATGTTGGCGGGCCTGCCATTGCACCAAATGAAGATTCAGGTTTGTTCCGGAGGTGGGATGAGGACAACAGATTCATGTCGGGAGCAGGTGATACGGTGATAGCTAGCTCAATCACAGCTGGTCGGAAGAAGTCCATGCCTGTGAACATTTCACCAGAGAAAATTCATCAAACGGAAAGGAGAATGCAAGCTACCAGTAAATCGAGTGGAGGTCTTACCTGGAAGATACCGGTGGACTCAGGATTCAGGTACTTGATCAGGCTGCATTCTTTGGAGTTTGCAACAATTGGTGAGGAGAATGACATGAAGTTCTCGATTGTAATAAACAATCAGATCGCTGAAGATAGTCATGATGTGATTCATTCAGATGGAGTTTCTGGAGATGGAACTTACAGAGACTACATAGTGATGGTGGAAGGCGACAAAAAACTGGGAAGGCGCTGCCTTACAATTGCTTTACAGCCAAGCTTTGAATCGAGAGACCAACATTTCCATGGCAGCTTGAATGGGTTGGAAGTGTTCAAGTTGAGCAACCCAGACAACAGTCTCGCAGGCATGTCGCCAATTCCTGAGTTGCAGAGCTCAATATCTACACTGCAGCTTAAAAAAGCAGGATTGGTTTCCATTGTCAATTTAACGGTCACTGTCCTGACAATTGTACTAGCATTATTGAACATTGTTGTTTACTACCTCAAAGGTATTTCAGACCGAAATTCCAGGAGAACTAACATAAGGTTGCCACCAATGGAGCATCACTGTCGACAGTTTTCCATTAATGAGATTCGGGCAGCCACCAACAACTTTGATCCTCAGTTTCATATAGGCAGTGGAGGGTATGGCAGAGTATACAAAGGAAGCATTGACTGGGGATACACCACAGTCGCGATCAAGAGATTGAGACCAGATTCCAGGCAAGGTGAGGAACAATTTTGGACAGAGATCAAGATGCTCTCCAAGATCAGGGACGAGCATCTTGTCTCCCTGATTGGATACTGCAACGACGGTCAAGAGAGGCTTCTGGTTTACCAGTACATGACCAGAGGAACTCTGGAAGATCATCTCTTCAATATAAACAGACATGTGATATCAAATCCTCCACTGCCTTGGGAACAACGTCTTCAGGTCTCTATCGGTGCAGCACATGGCTTGTACTACCTTCACTCCAGGCATGGTGTTATACACAGAGACGTGAAGAGCTCAAACATCTTGCTGGATGAGAATTGGGTGGCCAAGATCTCAGATTTCGGATTATCCAAAATGGGACCTGCAGACTCACTAATGCACATTAGTACAAACATTGCAGGAACATTCGGATATCTAGATCCAGAGTACTTTTTGACACGTAAATTGACAAGAAAATCAGATGTGTATGCTTTCGGTGTGGTGCTATTTGAGGTGCTATCTGGAAGGCCTGCAGTGGACATAAGACTTGAGGAGGAGCAACATAGCCTAGCTGGATGGGCTAGATATTGCATCAGAGAAGGAAGAGTAGATCGACTAATCGACCAGAATCTAATGGGGCATATTCTGCCGGCTTGTCTAAAGGTGTTTGTTGGAATTGCAGGCAGATGTCTGCACACTAAACCAGAGGGAAGGCCAGCAATGGCCGATGTGGTGCTGGGCCTGGAACTAGCATTGCTTCTGCAACAGACTGGAGAAGATATAGAACAGGGTGATGGAGAAGAGAATGCTGGAAGAGTTTATAGTGATAACAGTGATGGGATCATTTCCATGGATGACATATGCGAAACTCCACCGAAAGGAGAATCAGGAAGAATAACTAGTGAAGAGAAACCCAGCCCGGGTATCAGAAATGGAAGCAGTGATCAGAAGAATGTGAAGGTGAAGAAAACCACAGGCTCCAACAACAATGGGTCGACAAGATGGTGGTGGGATCCATTTGGGATATTACCAAGAACCCGATCCAAGTCAAGAGCTTCATCCTCACTTCCACAAACAGTCATCCATCGATTCTCACTCCAAGATATTCGGAAAGCCACAAACAACTTTCACTACAGTCACATAATTGGATTTGGTGGATCGGACAATGTATATAAAGGACACATAGATGGTATTCAAAAGGTTGTAGCAATCAGATGGTCAAGAACTACAGAGTCCAGAGTGGCAATGGCCGATGAGTTGAAATGGAAGAAACCGATACAAATGAGAGCTTCTTCACCTGGCCAAGATCACATTCCCTCCCTTATAGGCTACTGTGAGACTGTATCGGATATGATTCTTGTATATGATTACATGAAAAATGGGACTCTCTACGACCAACTTCATGAGCATAATATGGACCCACTTCCATGGAAGAGAAGACTTCAAATCAGCATTGGGGTTGCACGAGGTGTGGGTTTCATCCATTCCAATGTCAAGCAAACAAAGCTCCATCATGACCTCAAGTCAACCAACATTTGGTTGGATGATAATTGGATTCCTAAGGTCTCGGAATGGGGTTTGTCCAGAAAGAAGGAGAACAATCAAGTGCCAGCACTCGGTGGCAATTGGGGATACAGAATGGATTCAGATTACATCCGAGGAGAACAAATAACAGAAAAGTCCTATGTCTACTCTCTTGGCCTAATTTTGTTTGAAGTGCTATTTGCTGAACAAGAATCCGATCGCTGGTTTGACGAGGATCAGGTGAGTCTTGCCTGTTGGATCAAATCAGAGATGAGAAATAACCCTTCTGGCTGTATCGACCCATTTCTGATAGGCAGAGTATCACCAGCTAGTCGTAACATATACTTAGAGACAGCAGCAAGATGTTTGCTAGATAATGGAATGGACAGACCATCAATATCTGATATCCAGACAAGGCTCGAGGAAGCCCTAAAACAGCAAGAATCTTACAGACAGCCATAAGGATGCAGATGCTCAACCCACAAGGAGCTAAACTAAAGATCAAGAATGGTTTAGTCCTAGAGTCATACAAAATAGATGTCGAGCCGCAGACACTTCAATAATAAAGCTAGCAGTCATTAATGACCTCAGTGTAGTGATCATGTGTATGTAGTAAGTAGTGTGAATTACAAACTAGAACATATTTATGCATTATGAAATATGAATATAAAGTAGAACATATTTATGCATTATGAAATATGAAATTATAAAGTAGCACATATTAATGCATTATGAAATATGAATAGAAGCATAATCAAAGCAAGGTATGTTTGATCATCGTTTCCAGCCTCTGCACATTGCTTTCTCCAGTTTTAACATCAATCTCACAGAGTGTTCTTAGCTTAATTTAAACTATACTCAAGCAGCTAATAACTGAATTTTTAGATCATCCATTTCAAAGATGATACAACAAATCTAATACGCAAACATTCGCCTTCTCTCTATGCCTTCTACGCCATACACAAGAGCTCGACACTATTTTCGTCTTTCAAACGCTTCTATATCTATTATCTAATCCAACAAAAACTAAAATTATCATTGGAGCGAATCACATTAGATATTCTCCAAGTCAGTAACGCAATAAGAAAAAAGAGTAAATCGTGATCTGCTTTCAGTTAGGATTTCAACACCACAGCATACCAGTAAAAAAAAGGTGGTTAGCTCTCTTCTCAACAACTCCCATAATAATAATACAATGCAGCACACCTATGGAGATGGAAATTGGAAACCACAATTAACATGCTAAGCTAGAAATCAGGCACGATCAACAAAAAGACAGCGCGTAGAATAGCGAGCTTACGGACGAATTTTTTATGAACGCTTGGAAGGGAATCCTTCTCTCCGCCTTCGTGACGTCAACACCACTAGAAAGCTAACTGCGCTCTTCGGCCAAGCTGATGGGTTGACGAGACGAGAGAGAGCCTGCCCTGTCCAACTAACCCGTACAGACCCAAACAATTTTTTGCTTGGAGCAGCCCGGACCATTTCACTCAGGCCCAACCCGAAAACACATCCAAGTTCGGCCCAAGCGTGCATTTTTGCACTATAAAAAATTTTAAAAATATACTCTCTCCAGTCATATGTAATTATGCCTTTTCTTTTTCCAATTAAACTTAAGCACTAAGCAATTTTATTCGCTCGTAATTTTATTACTTAATACTTTAATAATGATCAATTTACTATTACTTCTACTCATCACATTATTTTTTTTTTATTGATTCTTTAATAAATTTAAAAAAATACTTCCACTTTACTTTTTAATTTAAAATATCGTTATTTTTTAATCTCAGTGTTTAAATACAATGAATAATTAACCCGAAATTATACTGGCCTATTTTTATTAAAATTAATGCTCAAATATATGAACATACCATTCCATAACAGAAAGAAGTAAAATTTTCTGTAGGGTCCATCAAATAATAGAAGACCAATGCTATGCAAATTTTGTAACAGCAAAAAAAAAAAAAAAAAAAAAAACAAGTGAAATAAGCCTGAGGAGACAGGATCTTTAATCACTTATGTAATAAATTTCCAGTCATGAAACACACAAACACTATATTATAGCAATATAATGACCTCATGCAAGAAAATTTTACACGAGAGAATGAAAAAAACAATTATTAGTGTTCATGGATCGAGATTGAGCATATCCAATGGCTCAAAGACTAAAAGAATGTGTGTATCCCAAAAAGATATAGTGGGATTAAGTGTATTTTGTTAAGCTGTCTAGCAATTCTACTATAACATCGACTAATCGTTTTCTCAATCATCTACAGTATTTCCAAAGCTGTAGTAGGTCTCTGTACTTACACAAAAATCATTGTCGCCGCCAACAAAGAGGGCGTCTTTAATCATCACTGTCGCCGAGTTGTTTCATCTATGGCGCACAAGCGCTCTGGATGACAATAAAGTGCACAGATTTTTAGTTTCGACCAAAACAATAGCTAGGCAAAAAGGTCGTTACAAATAAAAAAAAAATGAAGAAACAGAATGCTGTTGTAAATATGTACCCAACATTCAACAATCAAAAGCAACATGTTGAAGACTTGGTGAAAGTGTAATTTGAACTTACTTAGATATTCGTAGGCGAGTATCATGGATGTTCCCCAGGCTGACATACTGAAAAATCGAGGGCCAAGTCCTCGATAAAACCCAGCCCATCCTTCCTCAGCGATCAAATTTTTAACTACTTGTCTTGCTGTGGGTCTCTTGTCATGTGCAATCACCTGGAGAGTTCATGAAAGAGTACACGCAATAATTGAAGATTGGGGACTTTGAAGGCAGCCCATGTTCACAATTCTTTGAAAGCAAAATACTGCCAAAATCGAATAAATGAGAGATACACTGATAGATATATAAAGGATAAATGATACTATTAAGCTGGATGAACTTTTATGCAAAATGCGATCAATTTCCTAAGTAACGATTTCCAAACTGACTACTTTGAACAAATCGACTAGTAAAACAAAACATAATTGTGATGTAAATCAAGCACACCTCAATGCATCGTGATCATGAAATGAGAATGGGGAATTTGATAAGCATATACTTTACAAGAAGGAATAAATGGATAGCCATACTTGCAAGCGAGTCTTTATAGTATCCAACGGGGTTGTGAAGCATGAGGCGGTAGCAGCTGCACAAATTCCTCCGCCAGCTTGAACCATAACAATTTTCCCTTCACTTGGAGGTCTACGATCATGCTCATTACCAGAATCTAACAGTCTGCCAGAAACAGTACAAATTGAACTAGAGGAAGTACATAAGAGTACACATTAAAACTAAAAATAACCCAATGTGGAGGAGAATAGAACACAAAGAAAACTCAGGTTTGTAGAAAGTCTATGCAACAGATGAACAAGACATACAAATCCAGTTTCTGTTGTACTTCTATTAGACAAGGAAACACAATTCAAAATTACAACCTCTTGACACTCGCACACTAATCCCAACTAATAATCACTCACCTGATGGACTTAACACCCCAAAATCTTACACATAAAACCTTAAGTGGCCAACCATTAGGGAGACCAATGCCATCCAGGAATTATCTATAGACTAAGGGCATGCCACTTAGATTCATTGTTGAGGGTGAAGTAATATTCAGCTCTCTTTTATACTGACATGGCAAGTGTCCTTATCAATAACAAGGAAATTTCTGTTTTCTATGTACAACTACCAGCAAAGGGATTGAAACTTAGCTCCAACCACTAAAATCTACAGGAATAAACAAAGAAATAATTCTCTCCCAGCAGGAAAAAACAAAAAAAATCAAAAAACAGTCCACAAGTTTGAAGGAATACCTCCAGATCACTCGTTGGCTAGCACCATAACTTGCCCACCAGACAGCACTTGAAGGTGAATATGTTATGATAGACAGACCAAAGCCTCTATATAGTCCCCTTATACCATCAGATTTAATAACCTTACGGACAACATCAAGGCCACCATTATAAGTTTGATGACCAGAATACCCTTGCACCATCAACCTCTGACTAACCTTTATAAAGATGCTTGAGTTAATACATCAGACATGCAATGCAAAGAGGTCAGCAAGCCAGATACAGAACACATACTACACTAAAGAAGGCAGAATTTGAAGCATAATCATTATAATTTCCATCGCCGAGACAACTCAGAACCGTAGCATATTCTAATTTGCACTACAAAATTATACGAGATAACTCCCTCTCACAGAAGCAAACAAATATAAAATTTGCTAGATAATTATATCTAACTACATCAGGATAATATTCCTATTGCTGATTACTTTATTATGTTAGAAATGATATGCTTTGCTCACTTATGTTAAGAGTGCTTCTATATTGAGTTGAATGAGAAACATAATCCTATATGCCTAATAATATGCATTAAAAAATTGTCACAAAGTACAGGCAGCATACCAAGTCGATCGGAACAAAGACGGCTTGTGCACACAGTGACGCCATCATGCCACCAAGCCCATTTGCTATAGCTGCATGTGTAGGCTCGGATAATTCCAAAGGTTCTACCATCTTGAAAGCAGTCATTTTTGTTGTCTCTAATGCAGTAAGAAAAATTATTCTGGCAGGTATTGTTCCAGTAACAACAGTTCCAAAACCCTTATATAATCCACGTATCCCATCAGTTCTCAGAAGGTTTTTGAGAACAGAAAATGCATTTCTTTCCACAGTGTCATGAGAAGACACTTGCAGCCTCGTCTTCACAACTGAAATTGGATAAAGTGCCAGGGTAAGTCCAGTAAAAATCCCAGCTCCAACAACATAGAACTTAGTTTTATCAAGCCTGCATGAGAAAAGAAAGACCATAAATTTCTAACCTATGAAAACCACATTATTATAAAAATGCAAAATCACTTTAAATATAGTTTTTATTCATCCAAAGCACACTGCACACCTATTTAAAAACATGGAAGTTTGAGGCTATAATTTGTTGGAAAATGAGGGTGAAGCAGTATTATAAAATCTCTTACAAATATAAGAAAATATATCTTAATATACGAATTACAAATTTTTTGTTAAGATGGGCTTAACAAGTTTTTTTGCCTAAATTTCTCTGCCACTAGCTTTACTTTTCCTAAGATGTGCTTCTAAGAGAGATTGGTTTTATCTGAGATGGACTTCTAAGAAGACCACACAGGATGGGCTAAGTCTAATGGATAAGGTCGAAAGACTCAAAACCTATCAACTATTTAATATGGACATAGTTGTATCCTAGAGAACACCCAAATACTCCGGAAATGTACTTTAGCCTAGTGTGGGGGGTGCAGTCCTCCATTGCTTGATATCATATTTCATTGTATTTGATTCTTGATGTTAATCCTTCCGATTTCTTCAAAAGAAAATTCCTACACATTTTCTTGGTTACTTGACTTCTATATCAGTCTTATCTGGCATTCCCAGCTTAGTATGAGTCCAGATACCCCAAAAATGTTCCTTAACCCAATGCAGCTAACACTCCTAGATCTCATATTCTGTCGAATTTAATTCTTCTTGTTAATCCATTCGATCTCTACAAATTTTTCCTACATAACTTCTTGCTTTCTGATTTCTACATCAGTCGAATCTTGCATTCCCTACCTATTATGACCTCCACCTCTAAACTATCAGATATATGCTAAGAAACCCTCTCAACCCCAACCACAAAACAACCACCACGTTTTCAACAAAACCCGCTTCAAGATAATAGGCCCAGATTACTACAACCGTGACGCTATATCTTTAAGATCTTCTATCTTACTAACAATCACGAAGAAATTCCAATCGATAGAAATCCTAAGCTTCATCCAAAGGTAAGAACTTAGCACGATTAGCTCGTTCCCCAAAACACATGCGCGCACAGATATAAAATGAACCCTAAACGAAGTATACGCGAACTGTGTGACTAAATATATCCATTCACAACACATTTTCCCGAAAACACAATCTCACAGCATCAATAAATCCATCTATAACCAGCCGAGCTTCTACTTCAACAATCACAAGAAGAAATTGAGATGCATTTTCCGATATAACTATTTCTATAAAGAATAGCAATCGAAATCAACCAACTAAAGAACTTTCCCACCACGAAGCATCGATGATTTTCTTGAAAACAAACAAAAGAAAATTTGTAATATTGAGGGAGCATACTTGTCCCAGTTAATCTCCGTCTGACCGAATGATTGGGCGCGGCTTCCCGCAGAATCCATCGACTTCCGAAACAAGGAATCGAAATCCTAATACCGATCGAGAAACTCGTCTCAGTCCCTCTTCCCTGGAAGATTCCGAAACATCATCCTAATTGGAGATGTTCTCACTTCTCAATATGCAGAGAAGCTCCCGCATACATAAACAGAACTGACCTGTAAAGTGAGAGAGACTTTCTTGGGACACACTTCAGTTTTTGGCGGAAGTGGGGAGCAATCCCCTGCGTCGCGCCCACGGTAAGTACGATTAAGAGAACATGAAATTAATTTTATTTTTTTCGTCCCACTAAATTAGAGAAGAGTATGTTCTTAATTATACTCCCTCCCTAACACAATAGTACATTTGGGGATAATGCCGAAATTAAAGAATAATAATATTCTCTTTTTCTCAAAAAATTTGTCTTATTTTTTCATATGTCTCAAAACAATTGTGTTGTTTTTTTATTTAGTAATCGTGATCTTCACTTTATAACAAAATTATTCGTACTTTTTTATATTATCCCTAATTTTTACTCAAATGTACTTTTTAAAATCGTTAAAAAAACAAGGGCATTATATTCTATTTTATATCCGCTTTCAATTAAATACTATTATTCCTTAATTTTCATGTCAACTCCAATAGAACATTTTTTTTTGGGACGAAGGGAATATCATATTAATAGTTAATGTAAAAATGTTTTCAAAAGATCAAATACTTTATTTTATATAATTATTGTGAAAAAGTAAAAATAATTTTATAAAAATTAAAAAAATAATTATTAAAAATAAAAATGAAATTACTAATAAAAATAATAAAATAAAATTATTATTTTGAGACGGAAAAAGAGTATGTTTATATAATTTTTATTTTATTTATCTAATTTTATATATTTCACAATTAAAAATATATATATTATTTTAAAATATGTCACTAAATTATCAGGGTGTTCTGATTCCAAACTTTGGGTGCCATTGGTAGTCGAATATCAGTGGACCGTTGCTCTTTGTTTTCGATTCTCCAGCCATATAAAAGATTGGACTGGTAATGTTTGGTAATACGACTTCATCTCATATTTATATATTACATTAAAATAATATTATTCTTTTGTCACGTATGATTTTTTTTTTTTTTTTTCATCATATAAAGATGGTATTTTTTTAATAAACTCACCAATTTTAAATATATTTAATAAATATAAAATCAATTAAATTAAAATTATAATATCTCTTACACACGTAGAACCACTAAAAATCTTTTGTTTTTATATTTCTCATAAATTAATAAATATTTTTATTTATTTTTAAAATCCTCATTTTTTATAAAACTAATTTATGATAATGATAAAGATAAATAAATAAATATATCTTTGTTTATTTGTATTATATAAATTTTATTGTCTATAAATTGATATTCATATTGTATTCTCTCTGTCCAGCTAAAAAGTATATATATGTTTATTTAGAATGTCCATTTACAAAGTAATTATTTCATTTAATATATATATTTTTTCACAAATACTTTTACTTTAGATTACATCATTATTTTTATACAAAAAAGTAAAAGTAAAAATGACATTACACTATTTTTACATTCTCACTATAATTACACTATTATTATTTTTTATATAAATTTTATTGTCTATAAATTGATATTCATATTGTATTCTCTCTGTCCAGCTAAAAAGTATATATATTTTTATTTAGAATGTCCATTTACAAAGTAATTATTTCATTTAATATATATATTTTTTCACAAATACTTTTACTTTAGATTACATCATTATTTTTATACAAAAAAGTAAAAGTAAAAATGACATTACACTATTTTTACATTCTCACTATAATTACACTATTATTATTTTTTATATAAATTTTATTGTCTATAAATTGATATTCATATTGTATTCTCTCTGTCCAGCTAAAAAATATATATATTTTTATTTAGAATGTCCATTTACAAAGTAATTATTTCATTTAATATATATATTTTTTCACAAATACTTTTACTTTAGATTACATCATTATTTTTATACAAAAAAGTAAAAGTAAAAATGACATTACACTATTTTTACATTCTCACTATAATTACACGATTATTATTTTTTATATAAATTTTATTGTCTATAAATTGATATTCATATTGTATTCTCTCTGTCCAGCTAAAAAATATATATATTTTTATTTAGAATGTCCATTTACAAAGTAATTATTTCATTTAATATATATATTTTTTCACAAATACTTTTACTTTAGATTACATCATTATTTTTATACAAAAAAGTAAAAGTAAAAATGACATTACACTATTTTTACATTCTCACTATAATTACACTATTATTATTTTTTATATAAATTTTATTGTCTATAAATTGATATTCATATTGTATTCTCTCTGTCCAGCTAAAAAGTATATATATTTTTATTTAGAATGTCCATTTACAAAGTAATTATTTCATTTAATATATATATTTTTTCACAAATACTTTTACTTTAGATTACATCATTATTTTTATACAAAAAAGTAAAAGTAAAAATGACATTACACTATTTTTACATTCTCACTATAATTACACTATTATTATTTTTTATATAAATTTTATTGTCTATAAATTGATATTCATATTGTATTCTCTCTGTCCAGCTAAAAAATATATATATTTTTATTTAGAATGTCCATTTACAAAGTAATTATTTCATTTAATATATATATTTTTTCACAAATACTTTTACTTTAGATTACATCATTATTTTTATACAAAAAAGTAAAAGTAAAAATGACATTACACTATTTTTACATTCTCACTATAATTACACTATTATTATTTTTTATATAAATTTTATTGTCTATAAATTGATATTCATATTGTATTCTCTCTGTCCAGCTAAAAAGTATATATATTTTTATTTAGAATGTCCATTTACAAAGTAATTATTTCATTTAATATATATATTTTTTCACAAATAATTTTACTTTAGATTACATCATTATTTTTATACAAAAAAGTAAAAGTAAAAATGACATTACACTATTTTTACATTCTCACTATAATTACACTATTATTATTTTTTATATAAATTTTATTGTCTATAAATTGATATTCATATTGTTCTCTCTGTCCAGCTAAAAAGTATATATATTTTTATTTAGAATGTCCATTTACAAAGTAATTATTTCATTTAATATATATATTTTTTCACAAATACTTTTACTTTAGATTACATCATTATTTTTATACAAAAAAGTAAAAGTAAAAATGACATTACACTATTTTTACATTCTCACTATAATTACACTATTATTATTTTTTATATTGCGCAACAAAAGTAAATATATACTTCTTATTTGGACATAATAAGTATATTGTAATTGATGATATAATGTTAAAAATATATACACATATTTTACATTTTTTAATAATTAAAAAACTAATATCTATTATCTAACTAATTAATTTATATTACATAAATTTTCGTACCCAAATAAAAGCTTAATATTTGTAGAGACGAAAGAAGTATTATTTAAATAAAATTTGAAATTAACACTTCATTTTTGATAAATTTTAAACTACACTCAACAACCCCATGTTTCATAATTTAATACTCCCTTGGGCCAAACTATTTGTGTTACAATGTTCGGATCTCTTGTCTAAAAAATAATAGTAATATTTTAATTTAAAAGTAGAATAGATAAAAGTGAAGTGATAAGTATATGAAATTTATTAAAAATTTAATACTTAATCAAATGGAGCAGTAAGGTATATTAAAAAATAATAATAATTTGATTATTATTTGTTAAAGTCCAAATAATAAATTTGGATGTATTTAACTCGTACGATTTTAGTTTTAAATAATAAAATTTTAAATTAAAATAATTATTTGATACCATATAAATATGTATTAATACCATATTTTAAATATAAAATTTAATTTAATATAATATTATATAATAAATAAATAAATCTATATTTAATTCGATGTTTTTTTTAAAAAAAATTAAAATAATAAACTTGAATATTAAATAAAATACACCTAAAATTATGAGCGAATAAATTATGTCTAAATTTTACCGATAACAAAAAAGATCATAACTATATTAGAAGGTATAAAATAATTATTTAATAAATATATTTAAAAAAATTAACATTAAATACATTTTTAAAATAAGTAAATTAAACAATATTACTACAAAAATTAAAGTAAACCCGCACTGACTTTTACCGTACAGATTTACAGCGATAAAACGAAGTCGTCGGTCAAATTGCGGCAGCTTTGTCAAAGCTGTTACGCTGCTTGCTATCACAATCTCGCCAGCTGAGCTGGATTCTTACTGTCATCCTCTCATATACTTATTATTCAACACCACCCACTTTATCATTTTAAAATGAAACAATAGTTCCGATCAAAAACAAAAAATAAAAGAAATAGAAAATAAAATAATATAGTACTCTTAATATATATATATATATATGTTTTATCGAAGTAGTAAATCTTAATTACAAAATTATCTCAAATGTATTTATTTATACAAAAGTTATTTTATTTTTCTTTAGCATTATTTTTAAATCAACCAACAACTTCCGAACACATACGTCTTAACTAACCCTAATACAAAGTCTTCAATTTTATTCTTTTTTTTTTTTATCATTTAATATATTTTTTAAGTACAAAAAAATTATTAAAGAAAATAATGCATGCCATAAATAATTTCAATAAAATAATAATAAAAAACACGAAAGACCCCACGCAATGTATATTTGTCTATTTCCGTTGGAAGTCCTTGGCGCCGACAGACAATGTGGAGCCTAATGTAATTCCAGTCCCGGGATCTCAATGGTTCAAAAACTTCAGCCGTTGATCATATGGTCATAGACTTGATCAACGGTTATAATTCCCCAAGTGTTAAAAGCTCCCGGGAGCAATGGTTATGATTTGTTTTCATCATTTATACGTATTTCTCTTCACATATCAATAGTAATAAATACATATGGCGGTACTATTTCCACGAATCTTGTCATCTTCTGAAACCCTAAATCCCCAATTTCGCCCAAATCCATTTCACCCAAGGTGAAGTAAAAAAGTTAGATTACAGACAAAATCTTGCGAATGACAGTGAAAAAAGTTGGAGAAGAAGAAGATGAGAGGAGCCTACAAATGAAACGCCAACTTTAACCATCGTTGTCAGATCACAAGAATCAGCAGCACCATATCCACAAAGTCAAACTCAATTATAAATCCTTTCTCCCATTTGTTCTTCAATCCTCTGTAGTTGGGCTATCGTCCTCACATCGATTAAATTACCAGAGTATTTTGCCGCAATCGGGGAAATTTACTGCTCTGGTGAAGAAATTAATGGCGATCGATGACAGATAACGACAAAGGAGTAATTGGAAATCACCGAATCGGTGGTTAATTGACTTGTCTTTCTATATAGTCGAGTGATATTCCTTATTTTTAAACAACCAAGAGCTCAGCCTTTTTCTCCCCCACCGCGTGGGTGCTTTATTCCTTACCTCGCTCGTTTACTCGCAGATCTTGACTGATTGGGGAAATCTGGTGCTTGAAGAATGAATTTCAGCTTCGGATCTCTGCATATGGCGACCTCCGCCATTGTGATGTTTCTGTTGCTCTCTTGCTTCAGCTTCACTTCAACAGGTAAGCGGTTTCAGTTCCTCTGTTGTAATTAGAGTAGGTTCAAGAGTAACCGCCATGGTTTTGCCTAATTTCTAAGCTGGATTTGGTAACTGTGGCTTGTAAATATCTTCGATTGGATTGGATTGGATCCAATGATTATGTTTCTGAATTGGTGGATTCAGATCAGTTTATTGCTGTGTGATCTTTTCCTGAAACGATTTGACTTCAAATTTGTGAGCTAATTGTGAAGAACAGGTTTTCATTAGGGCACATTTTTTCTGCATTGAAATTGTGTTAAGAACAGCCTTGATTTGAGGACATGATTGTTGTTTTTTGGTTTCTGTTCTTCAGAAGCATACGATGCTCTCGATCCCAACGGGAATATCACCATAAAATGGGACATCATTAGCTGGACACCAGATGGATATGTTGTGAGTGATGAATTTGACTAGCCTTATAATCTCTGGATCATCCATGGATTTGTTCCTGCAATAGTACCATGTTTTTGTTTCGTTGATGTCGATAATCCCCGCAGGCTGTAGTGACGATTTTCAACTTCCAACAATACCGGCACATTCCGGCGCCGGGGTGGACGCTTGGGTGGACGTGGGCGAAGAAGGAAGTGATATGGAGCATGATGGGCGGACAGACAACCGAGCAGGGAGATTGTTCGAGGTTCAAAGGTAGCATTCCACATTGCTGTAAGAAAGATCCGACGGTCGTCGACTTGCTCCCGGGAACTCCTTACAACCAGCAGATCGCCAACTGTTGCAAAGGAGGAGTCATCAATTCATGGGTGCAGGATCCGGCGAATGCGGCCAGCTCCTTCCAGATCAGCGTCGGCGCTGCCGGGACGACGAATAAGACTGTCCGAGTACCCAAAAACTTCACTCTTAGAGCCCCTGGTCCGGGCTACACTTGCGGCCCTGCTAAAGTCGGAAAGCCCACCAAGTTCGTCTCTACGGATGGGAGACGAACTACGCAGGCGATGAGTAAGTTTTGAAATATTTTCTCATACGGTTGTGATATGTCTATAAAATTACTTCGGGCTTGTTCTTTGTAACGCGTCTCTTATTGCAGTGACATGGAATGTTACGTGCACGTACTCACAATTTCTTGCGCAAAAGACTCCGTCTTGCTGCGTGTCGCTTTCCTCATTTTACAACGATACGATTGTCCCATGCCCCACCTGCACTTGCGGCTGCCAGAATAACCTTACTCGACCTGGAAGCTGTGTGGAGTGAGTCCTCCATACAATCCTACTCTAATTAATGACAAAATTGCTTATAACTCATGTGTGATTCGAAAAGTCTACATTATTGTTTGAGACTCTCGTGTTTTATTTTCAAATTTCCGGTGGATTATAAGCAATTTTACTTTTACCCATTTAAACTTCTTTCTTATGGCGTGTACCTTTTTCTGCAGCCCGAATTCGCCATACCTTGCCTCGGTTGTATCCGATCACAAGAAAAGCAGTAGCTTGGCCCCTCTTGTCCAATGCACGAGCCATATGTGCCCGATTCGAGTACACTGGCACGTGAAACTAAACTACAAGGAATACTGGCGAGTGAAGGTCACAATCACGAACTTCAATTACCGGATGAACTATTCACAGTGGAACTTAGTCGTCCAACATCCCAACTTCGATAACCTGACGCAGATTTTCAGCTTCAACTACAAACCTCTTACTCCATACCAGAGTATAAGTAAGTACAACGACGCTGTTGATTGATACTTCCTGGATTCTTTCTTGCCTCGAGGCTAATGCTAATGTTTTCTGATATAACAGATGATACCGCAATGCTATGGGGCGTGAAATTCTACAACGATTTTCTGAACGAAGCCGGACCTCTGGGGAATGTGCAGTCGGAGCTTTTGTTCCAGAAGGACAAATCGAGTTTCACTTTCGAAAAGGGATGGGCTTTTCCGCGAAGAGTGTACTTCAATGGCGATAACTGTGTCATGCCGCCGCCGGATGCGTACCCATATCTGCCGAACGGCGGTCCTCGGAAAATCGTCTCCCTGGTTATGCTTCTGAGTACTCTGCTCTTTTCTTTCGCATTCATTTTTTCTGGCGGTGTTTGAGAATCTAATCTCCCTTCATGGATCAAACAGCAAAAAAAACTTGATAGAAGCGATACGGTACACCCTTAATCTGTCATTCATTCTTTTCTCAAGTTTATAACATGTTCTTATTCTTGTTTCTTGTACTACGAACTTTTGTTGTAGATTTTATAGTTGACAGAATTGTAATGAGAATAAGAACAAATTTGACATATATAGTGTTTGTTGCTCACTGTGATGCTCTAATCAAGAAAGTGTGTATCTATCTGTGCGTCTATAAATATATATGTAAAGCTGCAAAATCTCCAAACCCATCAAACACGGGCGTGTTGTTTTCTTGTGACTGAGTGACATTTCATGCCCTAGAACATCCCCTTGTTATTTGTTTGGGGATGGTTGCTTAATTGTTCTAATTAGCATAATATAGTATGTTGTGTTATTTAAAAATATGTATATTTTTGTGTTAGGTTATATTATATGATATTGTTGCATTTGTATTATACTAACATTAATCGTATAATGTATATCATTATATTTTGTGTTAGTTGTCTATTATACCGGTGCTAATTTACTGTCCATTTGTTTATATGCATTGATTATATATGGGCACACATGTGTTTGACATAATGCCCATAGGATTAGATAAATTGTAAGACGATGCGAGAAAAATATCGGGGAAGAGCAATACTTACTACTTACCGGAAATGTAGCGCCACCGAGTCAAGGTTGGCTAGTTTGGGGGCGGTGTGCAATGGACGCCGTCGGATCGTAATGTTCCGAGTTGGATCCAACGGATGGATGCAAACTGCAAGAACGAATTCTATGTCTAATTTCTTCTATGTGGGCATTCGGATTCTCTGATAAAATTTAGAGCCAAAGAAATTTGAGTGAAGCCGAGAGGAAGATGTCTAAAATGTGACCATATTTATATATGGACGTATGGAGTAGGGAAATAATTTGTTTGTTCATGGTTGTGCTTGGGAGAACCTGGGACCCGAACTCCAGATGGATCCACAGCGTCCATCCTGGAGGCTTCGCCGTGGATTCGAGTGGGAGCAGAAGTCCACGTAGTGCGTAACAAGTTGAATACACATTCCTGTATTTTAAAGCAAAGATGTGTGTAAGATAGAAAGTAAAATCAGAAAGATGAGGATTTGTTGGGGTGAGAATTGAAATTTGGTTTTGTGTCATGTCATGATCTGATCAGATGAAGAAACTGAGGTTTATTAATTTGTATTTAATTATCATTAGGGTTAGTTAATGATTGATTTCAGCTTTCTTGAAGATCAATGTTGTCTTGTCCATTGTGGGAGAATGGGTTTCTGCCACGTGTTAGTATAAGACGCATTTTAACTCCATAAAAGAAAACAACACAACCATCCAAAAAAAAAAATAAAATGATACCTGGGTAGGAATTCGACCATGAGATTATTGGTTCAAACTCTGAATATCTTGGGTCTAGTTTAATATTTTACAAAACAAAAGTATTTATAGTCATATCCATACAGTAAATTGCATGATGAAAAACAAAAACAAAAGAAAGGATGATGATCTTGATGCATGGGGTTGGCAATTAATTAAGAGAGAGACAAGTTGAATGAAATATATAATAAGCAGAGAAAAATCAAAACAAGGAGACAGACGACTTTGAAATTAAGAAAAACAAGAGGCTAAAGCACCAGGTTTTAGTTGCTCGTTTCTTTTTACAAGTAAAATATGCAGTGGCAGCAGCATATTTGAATATTATTATATATATATATATATATTCATTAATAAGTCAACAACAAATAAGAGTGGCTATAAATATGCAACAACACCTCATACATAACCATTACCAATTTACCATCAACATTGCCCTGCCAAAACCTAAATCTTTCAAAGTATCTTTCAAGACGTCGCTTATCCAGCCATAGTTCAATATGGGCCGTTGGATGAAACCAGAGGTACCTCTGTCCGTAATGTGTTGTGTTGTGTCATGTGTATGTATATATATATGATCATTCCAATTTCACGCTGAACTGGATTATTATTATTATTATTTTATTTTATTTTATTTTATTTTATAGATGATTCAACACGTATATACACAGATATAGGCACTATGATTCAACAATTCAGTATTGTACTAATGTTGCTTAAGGTATTTTTTTATTATTATTTTCAAAATTTATACCATCTAAATTTCCTAAATAAACATATAAAATCATATATAATAATTATTTTGTCGAAAATATATATAAAAAATATATAAGTTTTCTTTAAAATGTTTTTATTATTATATAATTTTGCAATAGAAAAATACATATTTTTTTCTACAAAATAGTATTACATTTAACCGTTTTTTCATATACAAAATACGTAGGTGTGATATTAAATTGAAATAACAGTATTCATTTAATAATTTTTAACAAAAATAGTATTATTTTTAATAAAAATTAGAGTGGCGCAGCGGAAGCGTGGTGGGCCCATAACCCACAGGTCCCAAGATCGAAACTTGGCTCTGATAAAACCTTGTCCTTGTTTATTTTTAATCATCTCCCCCTTATTCATATATATATATATATATATATTTTTGGATTGTGTTTAATATTCTCTCCATTATTTAAATTTAAATTTATTCTTTTTTTATTTTCATAAAAAAATATATATTTATATTTCTTTTCTAAATATAAAATCATTACTCATTTATATAATCTACAGTGTTATACATGTACATGTGTATATATAAATAGAGAGAGAGAGAGGGGATATATAAGTAACATACGGTGGCGGTGGTGCAGGTGTACCCTTTAATGGCTGCCATGAGTTTCGTGACCGGAATGTGCATTTTTCAGGCCACCAGAAACATCTTCCTCAACCCTGACGTGAGGGTGACCAAAGCTCACCGGACCACACCGGTTCTGGACAACCACCGGGAAGGCCGCCGCTATTCCGAGCACAGCCTCCGCAAGTTCCTCCGCACACGTCCGCCGGAGATCATGCCCACCATTAACCGCGTTTTCTCCAACCCTCACACTTCTCTTCCAGAGAATACTAAATAAGGGATTTTAAGTTGAAAATTAAGTGTGATTGAAACTTCGATTTTACATTTGAGTAATTAAATTTGATTCTAAATTAGATTATGATATAATTTACCACTGGAGTTTGGTTTTGATTCTTTTGTTTCGATGTGATGTTTATGAGTTACCATTCTTTTTTTCTTTTTATTTCTTTTGAATGTAATGTTTAATCTAAAAAAAAAAAAGAAAAAAAAATTACAATATAGTAAATATAAGCATAATAATCGATTTGCGGAATATAATTTAAGAATCGAAACTAAAATGAATCCTGATAATATACCTCTGGCCATTGGTGTTAAACTCGAATGCAATTTTTTTTTTTTGTTCTTTTAAGCACTTGCATTTTTTTTTTCTAGATATTGTAGAAGGTTTTATATAGTGATGCTTAGGGGATCCAAAAATTTAAAATTCATATCTCAATTATTTCATTTCATAAAAAAAAATAAATAAAGTAACTAACATGAAAGAATGAAGTAATGAGGATAGTAATTGAGACCTTTTATTAGGTCACATTAACATTTAATAATGAAGTAGAGTAATGGGGATAGTGAAGTAGCTGGAGACCTTTCACATAGATCACTACTTCAACCAAATAATATTAACAATAAAAACTTGAAAAAAATTTCAAGACTCATAATAACTACTCTTGTAATGAACATGGTAAACACCAAATGTAATAATTTACAAACTAAAGGGGTGTATTCAATTAAGATTTTAATGAATTTGTTTGGATTTTGAAAATTTTGTAAATTTAAGTGATTTATAAATTCTATAGAATTTATACATAATTTAATTGATTTTATTTATTGATTTATATGGATTTTGATAGATTTGATTGAATTATTTATTGATTTCTCTAAACTTCATTAGATTTTATAAATTTGTGAATTAAATATTTTTTATTAATTTATATAAGTTTAAATATATGCAGTACACTTGTATGCATATAAAAATTTTCAAATATTTAACAAAAATATTAAAAGGACATTAGTTCTCAATAAATATATTTATTATTATTCTCATTTTTATTTTATTTTAATAATAATAGTATTTTAAAATTTATATATTTTTTATAGTATTATTTTGATCGAATTTATTATACTATTATAAATATTCAACGCAATTAATTTTTATTTTGTAGCAATCTATTTAATTGTTATTAGTATTATTTATATGATTTTTTATACAACAGAAATATTTATCAATAAAATCACATTAAAATTAAAATTTTATTAATTAAAATTAAAAATAAAATAATTAAAAATGAATAAACATAAACTAACATTGTCAAACATTAAAACTGATAATATTAATTCGAACTATTCGAGCAAGTTTATTTGTTACTCCCTCCTTCCCAAATACTATGTTCATGTTGCCGTTTTTGTCTGTCCCATATTCAATGTCACTTTCCTGGAAAATGATTATACCCATTAATCTCATTTTAAACTTTTTAATTTATTTTTTTAAATTTTAATTAAACTAATTAGTTATCTTAATCTTAATTTGTAATTATTTATATTATAAATACTTATTTTCACTAATATATTTTTAATTATCTACTAATTACATCCCTTTTAAAATATCGTGTCTACAGTGTAGCAGACACTATATGTGGGACGGAGGGATTATTTTATATATATATATAATTTTTAATATTATTTTAAACAAATAAAACTTTAAAATATTTGTAATTTTATATTAAACATTTAAATTTTCTTATTTTATTGATATTATTATAATAAAATAATAAATACATATAAAATAGTAAATAGTTATTAATACTATAAATAAAATAATATGTTATTTTTTACTAATTTTGAGAATTAATTAAAATCTCACCTCATAACAATAGATTCTATAAAGTGTAATTTGTTAACAATTTTATTAAAGAATCCAACAAAATTCATGGTTGAATACACCAAAATTTTAAAAGACTTTTTAAAATCTAAATTGAATACACTCAAATTTTAAATTTTTTTTAAAAATTTGAATTGAATCTCTAATTGAGTTGGAAGACCTGCTTAGCAATCAAAACGCTCGGTTGTACCGTTAGTCCGTGCCTTTCTAAATAAAGCGTGCTTTACACTCAAATTTTAAGAGTCCAATAAAATTTGAACACATCCAATTCAATGCAATAGCCTACAAATTAGGTTACAAAATCCCCACGTAAAATGTAATAGTATGCAAATTAGGTCAGTAAAAAAAATTGTACTTTTTTCATTCTAATTCAATGTAATTTTTTTTAATAAAGTAAATAATAATAATAATAGTTTATTAATTTAAAAAATTATGTAAAATAATTTTAATATTTTTTTCCTTAAAATTAAAAATAAAAAATATTTTGATATTTAAATATAATTATTTTTATTATAATTGAAAATAAGTATGAGAAGACAAGTAAGATCAAGAAACATGGGGATTAATCACAAGTCTAGTCACTACACCTACTCACTTTTGTTACATACGATTTTGGTGTCGGGCTTTCATCCATCATTCTTATTGGAGTACTCTAAAGTCCATCAAAGTATTGGGCAATTTGGGATTTAAGGCCCAACACCTCCAATCCAAATTTATTTTATCACGTAATAATAATAATAATAATAATAATAATAATAATAATAATAATAATAAGAGATCTCATTTAAGGCATATCACGAAATAAATTACAGTTAGATCCATCCATCCAATGTTTGGTATAGTTACGTTGTCAAAGTGTAAAGTTTGATATTAATTATAATAATAATTATTATTATTATAAGTATCGGACCCACCACCCTCACATGATTGATTTAATTCATTCATTATTGTACGGCGGCTTATGAATAGTGTACAAAGAAGGTACACGTTACGACTTGGAATAGATATATTAAAAAAATGGAAAGGCACGTAAATTTTATTTTATTTTTTTAAAAAAGGAGAAAATCTTGCTTTATTTATATGGCATGGCCTTAATAAAAAAACCATTAATATTTGGTGGGCCATAAATTTATTAACAAAAGCCCACCTCACTTTCTAACTTTAAAGGCCCAAATGAATGTATTTAATTATTTGACTATTACTATTGCTGCTTAACAATATAGCCAAGAATCAAATGAAAAATTACACAAATTAAAAAGTGCTTTAGAAAGAATATAATTTATTTGATCAGTGGTGGGAAGCATGTGATTAGGTGGATATTATTGTGGCATCTAATCTAACACATGCCAACCATCCTAATATATATATATATATATATAGTATATGCCAAAAAATTAACTGAATAGAATAATTAATTACACCCCAAAAAATAATAATAATAACAACATCTATTTGATTCTTCCAAATCATCCATTCACAAACCCTACATCATCTTGGGAAATATAAAAGAAACATATTATGCACACTAATAAAATAATTAAAAAAACTACATCTTGTTTTCATCAATGTTAATGGGGCACATGTTATTGGTGCATGCACTACTAGAATATATATATATTTATTTATTTATTTAAAGAATTGCTAGCAAACAAATGCACTCATAATATTTTCCCCAAGATTCTCCTGAAATTAACAATATCATCTTCTGGATCAAAAATATTTATTTTTGGCATCTTTATGTTTTCTTGTTGGATTACCTAAGTTGAAGCATCATTTCACAATATCTCTTCATCCAATAATACATAAACAATAAACCTAATTAATCCAACACCCTTTAACCCTAACATTCCTTGGATTCTGTAAATTAACTAGACAATAATAATACATTGTTCCAACAGACCCTTTAATTATATATATCTATAACAAAAACAAACAAAAAACAAAAACCAATCAAAACCTTCAATTTAATTTACTTTCTTGAAAAACATATTCTGAAAACCACACAACATTAGCTTCTTCCACTATCAAAATTTGAATCATCAGCTGTGAGTGTTATGGACCATATATACTGTGAATAGCTGGCTCATTTAGAGCAACAAAAGCCCTACTTTGTAGCTTAGCAATATATATAAATATATATATGTTATCAGAACATCATTTTCAGATTTAGGTCCCCTACTTTATTGGGGGAAGCCATGAAAATACTATCAAATGAAGTCTGAGAGCTATGGCATAAATGTACATTCATGGCTGTTTCATAAGCTCTAAGCTTTTCAATGAAGATTTGAACAATAGAATTAATTAGCAAAAAAAAATCTAGAAGGGTGAATTAAAATCAAGAAAGGGGCAAATAATGGTGGCAAGAGTTGTTAGCTCTTTTTTTCTTGATTAGCTAGCTAGGGGAAAATGCAATGTGGGGTTAGAGATGAATGTGGATGTGTAATAAGTGGTCAATTGTCGATTTTTATCGTACTAAGGATGATTATGATATGCCCACGAGGGGGTAACATGCACTCGAGGTTCGTGCGAAATTTCCTTATTGGATGCTTATGTGACATACATAAGAAACCAACACGAGAGGGAAAGCCCGACGGGACAAAAGGCTAAATTTCATGCACATTGTGGCCAAGTAGCCACCAGATCACATGGTGTTGGCAACTTTCTTTATTGAAATACATGCAAAAGGTGAAATTAATATTAAGCTAGACTATGCATAATTTTATTATAAGATTGCAATAACATAATTTCAAGAGAACAAAAAAAAAAGAAAAAAAAAATGGAAATGAAAATGAAAACTTTGAATATATATATATATATATGTATATGTGTGTGTATGGAACAAATGGTAGAAATAGAGAAGAAACAAGAGCAAAGACAAAAGCAAGATAGAAAAGGGACATCAAACAATAACTAAAATGGGGGTTGAGGTGGGGTGGGGTGGGGTGGGGGCGGGGGGGACCTTAATCACACATGGGGTGGGGTGCATTTTTGCTTATTGAGTTTGTGAAGTGGAGCCATCTTAAAGCTAAGAAGATTCTTTTGCAATATGTTGGTTGGAGTAACACACATGGTTGTACCTTTCCTTTTTGCTCATTTCAATCTTCTACTAAGTTTTTTTTTTTTTCATCAATCATTATGTACATTGAGATCCCTTCTTCTTCCTCTACCCGAAACAAGCCCTAAACATTGATAACTAATTCACAACATAGTTTATAGTTGTTCAAATACTTGACATTGAATCGATAAAAAAAACTAATCTCCGCTAAGTTTTTTTTTT